TTAATACAGGTTGGAGTGGAGTGTTCTGCATGATTGTTGGAAATGGAATGCAACAGCATTTGGTTTGTGTTTCCCTTATCATAGTTCTGAGGACTCGCGCAGGTCGGAAGTCTCACTGTAAACAGACGGAAACGCAGAAAGACAGGGGCGGTCATAGTTCCCACAAAGGGACTCGTGGCGGTGCTGCCACCGGTCTGCATTTCAGATTCAGCCTAGCCAAGATCCCAGACTTCCTTTGCTGACAATATATATGCGTCCATATCTATTGTCGGTCTGAGGAAGTCTGGTATCTTGGCTAAGCGCTTGGTGGTTGTGACCGAAATGAAGGTCTCGGTTGATTCTGTGGCAATCGCTAGATCCTTGGAAGCACATCCTTGGTTTACAGTTGGTCGATGCAGAACAGACCCAAAGTGCTGGCATGTCGGTCGCTTGCATCATCGTACTCGGCTGCTGGCAGCACCTGAAGCTGCCATCGAGCGCCTGGGTTCCATAATGAATTACCAGTACGATGCCTGTGCTGGTCTTACCCCGGCACAGGCGGTCGATCGCCTGCTCTTGGATCTCTGGAAACACATAGTAAAGTATTTGTTTAGTTCTAGTGTTGATTCATCAATTATTCAATGTATTTTTGATTAGACAGAGAAAAACACGAGCCTGAAATTGCCTGTCTGAGGCCCAAGGTGGGCTGCACATGCTGGGCTCGGACCGCGATGAAATCCTCAAAGCTGCAGTCTGCCGGTCGATCATGTCGGTCCGCAAACGAGCCCGAGGAGGAGGACCCACTGAGCAGATCCGCCAGAAGAACAATGCTGTGCGTCTGTCTGGACGGTCGTTTGAAGAGCTTTCTGGGCACAGCCGTCAGGACATGGCAGAACTGCTGGATCCACTGCTCCCACAAGACATCGATGGTGGATTGTCGGTCGTCTTGAGGAACATTCAGCAGCAACATTCTTCGTCATTGCCGTGTGATCTTCCTGATGTTCTCCAGCAAGCTGTGCAGAAGGCGGTCGTTGGCGGGTCATCAGCCTGCACATAGTATTAGTTTATTATTTGACTCAATCATGACATGTACTAATCAAATGTAAGGAATCAACTTAATTGTTAAAAAAATACAACTCTACAGTATTCAAGTTGACTGGAAGGACCAGAGAGCCAAGGAAAGTGCAACTGCTGCCAACCTCAGTGCAGGTCCTGCACGCTCAGCAGAAGTCGGTCGCCTCCTCTGTTATGAGAGACTACTTGAAAGAGTGGCTGGAATCAGAGGATGGCAAGAAGTACCAAGCCAGTCGGGCTAAGCTTTGGAAGTGAGCTGGTCGCTGCTGAGAAAAAATGCCGACGATGTTGTGAACACTGCATTTGTGTACCAAGATCTAGCTCGGTCACTTTTCGAGTGAGTCACGTCACCCAGGCCATGACTGGATCGCCGGTCACTGCTGCACAAAGGACTGGGCCGTGTGTTGCATATGAAGCACTAGCTCGGTTGGTGATCATGTCTTTTGCAAAGCACCAGGCCATCATGGTGCCCAAGCTGCAGAACCATTTTGCTGTCAGCAAAGTGGTTCTTCAGGTTGGGCACTAGGTGCTTCAGTGGTCTCGTCGGACCCCCAGCTGTTTGTTTGCTGCACTCCTCCTGATTTCTCTCACATGTTATCTTCAGTCAAGCAGGCCGGTCAATGCCATAAGATGAAGATCCGAAGCAACCCTGGCCCACGACTGTCCGGCACTGCCGGGCGATCGTGGATCCGAGTTGCTTTGCATCTCCAGCTGGTGGCATGTTGGAAGCTCAGACCTTCTTTAGTAACCTGACCGTCCTGTGATTAGCTCGTACAATGACAAAGAATCAGAGCTCATGTGGCCCAGGCCGTGGTTGCCGTGCTGGTCGCTGCCACTGAAAGAAAGACAACGAGGCGATGTGTAAGCCCTTTGTCGGTCGATCACAAGGCGATGCTGTCACGATGGCATGGCCTTCTGCTTGACTCTGTCTGTCTGACTTGCCAGCTGTGCTTCAGCTCTTATAGCATCATCGACTACACATCACTTAGAGAGTTTCTTGCAGCCGTGGTCGTGTCAGGGAGCAACAAGCCTTGGGACTGAACAAAGCCATTGCACGGCAGCATCAGCGTATCATCATACCTATAATATACATGAGAACTTCACTTGAGACTAGACTTTAGACATGGAGCAGATGGAGCTCCTTTCGGAGTCTGAGTCCATGTCGGTCGACCTCCAGATATGTTCAGGCAGCGAAAGCTTGAAGAGCTGGTCGCCGGATGAGAGTGGGTCGGAGTCTCTTCCGGCGTCAGATATGCCAGATATTGACGTGGACCAGGCAAATGCGACGCCGGTCGCAAATTTTGGCAGCGGCATGGCAGGTGCCAAGCAGTGGCCTGAGATCACGATGATTGCTTTAAGTCGTATTTTGTCGGTCAAGCAACTTCAAGGCATGGCTGTTGTGAAACCCATCGATTAAGAACCGTTTATTAATTATTCTTGCAATCGTCATAATGCTAATAAGTTATCATTATCAGAGCAATAGTAATAATAATCGTTATCAGTTTCTGAGCACCCTGACCAGGTTCCATGCTGGCTGGCCCAATCCGTGTCAGTACACATTTCTCAGGTGTTGGATGTGCTGAGCAGGCGGTCGAGCGTGTGCACAAGGCCTTCCAAGAACTTCTTCTGTGTAAGTTCACCACGCGGGCGGTCGCCAAGAGATCGACTCTGCAGTTCGTGTCTGCGTGTGACTTATCACGGGCCTGCCAGAATCTTTTGATGGGTCGGTCGGAGCATGTCTTTGGAGATATCAGGGATGCCTTTCCGACTCTGGAAATGCTAGGTCCTGACCGGCCGGTCGCAGAGCGGTGGGCACTGGCCAAGAGAGCAGCCGCCAACGTCCCAAGAATATGTCGGTGTCATGTTGCATGCCGGCCACCACCCGTGACGGTCGACATCAGCGGTAGCCCATGCCAGCCATGGTCGAGAGCTGGACAGAAGAGGCGCTGGACCGACGGTCGGTCTGACCTTCTCCTGCTATGGGCAGCCCTTATGTTGAAGCACGAGCCGCCGGTCATACTGCACGAAAACGTGTCTGGCTTTCCCACGTCGGTCCTGGAGGATCTCATGCAGGAAAAGTATGTCATTCATCACTTGCGGGTCGAGCCACACCATGTGGGCTTCACCTGTGTGAATCGACCACGGGTATATTCCGTGCTAGTACATCGGTCGAGAGCGTCGGTTGCCGATATCCCGACGGTCTACCATTTCGTGACAAGCTTCTTCAATTCCGTCGGTGGTGGACTGTCCATCAGAGATTGTTACATAGGGTCGGTCGAGGAGACTCTAGAAGAGGAGAACTTCTGTCGCAGAGCAAAGGGTTTAGACATGGTGCAGACGCCAAGCCGGTCGTGGGAATGTCTGCTGACTGGGCAGCAGCAGAAATACTTGGCAAAGTACCGTGAAACTTGGCAGCAGTGCAGGTCTGACAAAGAGCAGGAGCCGGTCTTTGATCTCAGCCAAAACCCTGCACGTTTCCTTAAGATGACTACAAAAGATGGTCGCTTGCCAACTTTCCGCACGAATACGAAAATTTGGGTGGATGGTTTGAGCCGATGGCTTCTGCCGGTCGAAATGGCAGCAGCAATGGCAATGAACTATGGGGTCCTGGGGCAGCCCAACCGACAGCAGGTCGGCAACGGAATGCATGTGGCCAACTGTGGAGTAATGTTGGCGGTCGCCTTGGCCTGTACGCGTTGAAGAACAGTGCGGTTAAAAAAATGCAGTGTGGTGCAATGCCCAATATCTGATTGGCACACTTGCTCCATGATTCATCCTGTGCCACGTCGGTCGTGCCTATTTTCAGTCAATCTTAATTAATGTCGTTTGCTCATTGCCAGGCAGACGTGGTGAGCCCTCCTCTGAGAGCAGGTCGACCAGGTGGATGACATGGTACGACCATGCCGTCCAAATGGTCCGTGGCTGCTGGTTGGAAGACCAGACACAGTGCCGGTCCTTCAGCTTCGCTGAATCTTCACTTTGCGTGCCTCCTGAGTGTACAAAGGAGTTCTGGAGCCGTGGGGCAGCTCGAATGCGAATCCCTCTGAGAGGTGTTCGCATTGGAGCTGCCCCACGGTTCCCAAGCAGCTCAACGAGAAGGCTCTGTAGCCTACAGAGCCTTCTCGTTGAACTGCTTGACCGAGCATGTTCGACATGCTGATGTCAAGGTCATGTCATTGAAAAAGTTGAGTTCATGTTATAGGCGTTGTTTTCACACAGCCGGTCCATCATGTGGCTGGACGATTGGGCCAATCGTCTCAACCACAAGCCGATGGACCGGCCGCCAGGTTCGGAGATGGCCTTGACAACGGTCGTAGACATTGAAGCACTGGGGTGACCACATCGCTTGCCGGTCGACTTCCGTCCCGGTGCATTCCTGAGCTCGCCGGTCGACTTCGGTCTCGGCGCTCAGCTTGCCGTGGCCTTATGGTGGAGCGCAAACGAAACAGTATTTTAAGTTCATGTTAGGCGTTGTTTTCACTCAGCCGGTCCATCATGTGGCCTTGACGGCGTCAGTGCAGCCCAGAAGAAAAAAGAGCTCGAGGCTCGAGCTCTTTTTTCTTCTGGGCTGCACCCCGAGCTAGGAACTCGATTGTGCAGAATCAGGCGGTCGACTGCTCAAACCGTGGAAGTCGATTGTGCAGAATCAGGCGGTCGACTGCTCAAACCGTGGAAGTCGATTGTGCGGAAAAAGGCGGTCGACTGCTCAAACCGTGGAAGTCGATTGTGCGGAAAAAGGCGGTCGACTTCTCAAACCGTCTAAGTCACGACCCTGTTTTTTGGTTTATGCCAAAGTCGTACAGCTCAACCCTGTGAAACCCTATATAATTTAAGCCATATTCCCTAATTAAGGGGTATTATATGAAGCCCCATATAACTTAAGCATATTTAAGCCATATTCCCTACTTTAGGGGTATTGGGCTCTCTGGCTAGATCTTCTTGCTTAGGCCTTGGCGTTGTTCGGCCTCGTCTTCTCATTGGCGCCGGCCTCGGCAGAGTTCTGATCCAAAAGGGTTATCCCTGAGGCTCCATGTGCCCATGTGGTAGGTACTTAGGCCTTAAAGCCGTCCCTATATGGCTACTTTCAGGCCTAAGTACCTACTATATGGGTACATGGAGCCTTTGGGTTTAGGGTTTAGGGTTAGGGGGCGCCAGGGGCCCTTGTGATTGCGGCCTTGAGGTTGGGCTCAAGGGCCTTGGACTGTGCTGGTTTGCGTCAGAGGTGGGAGTTTGTTGGGGAGTGAGACTTGGGCATTTGCTATAGGGTCCTGAACAATTACCAATACTATTCTTGGGGTTCCTTATTACAAGTATAATATCATATACCCCAATACCCTGTTCTAATTATTGAGGCCTCTATATGCGGTTTTTGCTGGCACGATCTTGTGCAAGTGCATCATCTGGAGGGGTCCGGTCGTCTATGTCGGAAGCTGCCAGCCCACCCTGCCGATACCTGGCTTTTTGCAACGACCGCATCTTTGTGAACTTAGTATACTTCCCCAATACAGCCGCTTGGCTGTATTACGTTTGGCACATATTTGAAGAACCCCAAGGGGAGTGAGTAAAGATTCACCTGAGAACTTCGCCTGCAAAAATGCTCTGCGGCATTCTTAGATCGTCGGCGGTGCGTACGTCGTGTCCTTCTTGGAAGCGAGGGACTCACACATGACACGCAGGCTGGACATGTTATTTCTCTGCAGGCTCACAGGGGTGGAGGCGTATAGTGTTCTTTTCTCACGCCCGGGGATCCCCAAAAGAGTACGTCACTTTCACCGTTGTGGTTACATAAGGACTACTATGGGTAGTTCGGCTTCGAAAGTTCATATGGGTAGTTGTCGAGATTACGGTCCTGGGCGGGTACCTTACATAATAGGTGCCGTATTATAATATGGATCCAAAAAGGGACCACAATTTTGATGAAAACCTGTACGCCTTAGCCCCTCGCCACAGCAGTACAGTTACAGACCCCTGAGAGCCGGCCTCCCCAGAGAGCCCAATACCCCTTAATTAAGGAAGATACCTTAAATTTTATAACTGGGTTCATATTATGATTTAGGCTACATTCCCTAATTAAGGGGTATTGGGCTCTCTGGGTCCTCCACAAGCCCCCATGCCAACCCTTAAACCCCTTGGACAGACTAGGGAGACCTCCTAAACCCTTCACCCTAAACCTTAAACTGTAAAAAAAACACGAAAGCCCTAAAACCCTGGTATCCTATACCCCTACAGCCCCCCGAAGCCCCACGGGAGGCTGCTGGAGACCACCAGCCTCTATGACAACATGCGCCGGGCGCGGAGCTTAAAAAAGCGCTCGCTGCAAGCTCGGGGTCCTCAAAAGAGCTCAGATGAAGGTCGGTAGGAGTTTAGGGCTTACAGGGCTTAGTTCAGGCTTGAGGGGTTTGTCGGCTCCACCACATATGGGCCTAAGTACCTACCTTTACCTATCCTTAGGGTTCCGTAGTTCGAAATGTACTAAGTATGCTGCACACCGAAACCCTGTTCTAATTCTAAACTCGGCCCTAAACCCTATTCTACAATACTCAATGCCCCTATATGCTCTATGGTCCGAAGCCGTAAACCTGAATTCTAATTCTAGACCCTAAACCCTATAAACCCTAAACCCTATTCTAACATTCATTGCCCCGAAATTAGGGCTTATGGCTTGGGACTACAGAGCTTCTGGCGTCGGGGCCTTAGTAACAATTACTCATACTATCTTGGGGAGTTCCCTAATATATATATATATATATATATATATATATATATATATATACATATATATATATATATATATATATATATATGGTTATAATATAATATACCCCGAAAGGGTTGAGGGTGTGGGCGAGGGTTATAGGGTGCATGTGTCACAGTTGTTTAGGCAAGCAATATCAGTGTTCGTAGGTACAAAGAAGCCATCAGCAGCTAGGAGTACATGATGACCGAGTTGTTGTCGTCGTAGCTGCAGTGCTGACAGAGAGCGTGAGAGTAGGAGTAGCAGTAAAGACTGTAGAGCCGTAGAGTCTTGAAGAAGAGCTGCAAAAGCAAGCGAAAGCGGTTCGAGATGTGTCCCCATATACCAACCGGACATCCCCGGAGGACGATGGCATGCTCGGCTACAGGCGCAGTGGACTGGGATGGATTTGTTTTTTTGTCGGGTCTTGACTCGGAGTCAGGGAGAAGGACATGGATTTAGCGAGAGCTCAGAGATGTTTAGTGTTTATAGGCTGTAAAATGCAGGCGCAAGCGCAGACACATCCGAGCAGTCAGACTCAGTCCATGTATCTCTATGGAGTTGTCTGACTGTTTTCGTCATGCCTTATAACCCATGCACTATATCCTACTTATACTTACCTGTGTGTTTTTATCTGTATACCCAAAGGGGCGATGCTTTTGTGTCAGAGCTTTGGTGTTCACCTGAAGGTGGGTCAAGAGCTCGTGGGCGGCGACGGTCCGCTGCTGAGATGTGATCATCGGCAGTTCAGTGCGAGTCAGTGTTGTTCGTAGGAAACACTTGAACATACCCCAGTGTAGAGAGCACGTATTGAGCAGGCGGAAAGTGCACGCGACTGTGGCGGGACGATTCGCACCCCAAGAGCACGCAGGGCACTCTGGCGGGAGCCAGATTGTCAACTCTGGACACTGTCGCGTGAATGGCAGGATGTCGACAGCAGTAAGCAGCCCCGAAAAGGCGAAGAACATGGGCGCGGTAGGACTTTGCGACTTCGAGCTCCTGGAGGGCCAAAACGAGCACTGGATTGTGGGAGCTCTGATTCTCTCCAAAGCATCGCACAGAGACCATAATCCCCAAGCGTACACGCTTGCATGCGGCAGCTGGGACTTCCGATGTGAGTGTCGATTGTACATTTTGTGTTCGTTGAATCCTTCTGTTCCTCGAAGCATTTTCTAGAACAGTCTGTGAAAAGACTTGTCTGAGGTATTGACAACAGATTTGGGTCACATGTATACGAGCGTTGGACATGTTTATTTGTTCCCCGTAAATCAGTGGGTACACCCATCACAGACAGACACACACAGACGCGAGCGCACAAGCACTGACATGTATTTGCGAGGGAGAGAAAGACAGACAGACAATCACACACAAAAGAGATAGAGACAGAGAGAGTCCGAGAGAGAGAGAGAGAGAGAGAGAGAGAGAGAGAGTGTCCGACAGAAACGAAACACCTTAATGGGGACCCCTACCCTATAATGGGCTATATAATGGGGTATATAGTGGCTATATTAAGGATATATCCCTAAGGGTCCTTATTAAACACACACACACACACAGACACAGAGACTCCACAAAGACATAGGCACGCACAGACACCCAGGGCGCATGAGCCAATGCTTCCCTCAGGGTCCTAAGTTCCTGTATGGTAAATACTTATAGGCTTTCTTTATCAGGAACCATTATCGTGATTTGGGACTTATCCCCCATAATTCATAACGATACCTCGAAGCCTTTGGGCTCGCAACCTTTTCCGAAGGCCACTCCTCCAGCAGCGGACGGGACGCAAGAGCTCTCGGACGAGGCTTGGGGGGTAGTGTCTAGCATAAAGTGGTCAGCATTTATTTAAGGGTTTAGGAGGAATCACTCGACGAGTTTTGCAGGTTTACGGAATGCTCGAGGGATGACGTTTGATAGCAATTGGGCGTCGTAACCTACTTCGTCAAGGCTTGCAAGGGCTGAAAAGTAAGGCTGCAGCACGAAACAGCGACGACAAGATCTTGCGTCTGAATCTTGGTAGGTCCTTGTACATGTTTGACTGCGCCCAAAAATTCCAGATATTCATAGGGATCTAATGAACAAGTCAATACGTATATCGACAGGTAGACATACAGAGAGACGGAGGGAGAGAGAGAGGGAGAGAGCGACATATGTCGACAGCCAGAAACATAGACAGACACATGGGTAGCTGGATAGACAGAAAGACAGAGTGATGGACACGGATTCGATGATACATGGTTAGAAGAATAGAAGTTATGTGGATGAACCGATAGATTGATAGAAATATGCAGGTAGTGAGAGAGTATGCAAGTGACCGCAACCTCGGCGTCTGGATCGTAGGATTGGGTCTCTCTGGCAGGTCTTCCAGCAAGCCCTAAACCCAAAACCCCCAAACCCCCTAAACCCTAAACACTAAACCCTAAAGACTCTGTCAGGTCTTCCAGCAAGCCCTCGAAGCTTCTGTGCCGGAAGGTGCGACCTGCAACAAGCTGCACCTTTGGGTTCAGGCTCCAGGGCTCAAGGCCACCAGTGACTATTATAGGTTCTTATTTACGGATAGGTATTCGCATTGTTACATCTTGTCATGATCATCATCATGACCAGCCAGTATCATTATCATGACAATAAATGTGATCATGATTATTGTTGTTATAGTAGTATGACACTGACCTAACTGTGCTTTTATTGAAGGAGCACAGAAGCCACCGCTGAACCCGCTACGGAGAGATTCTTTACTCCTACATGCGGAGCCTGTTCGCAAAATTTGGGGGGTGATGGTGGCAAAGGGGTCGTTCGCTAGGGGTTGACATGCTGAAGGGGTTCCTGCAAATTTGCCATGAATTTCGGTTCAAGCTTCAGGGTCCAGAAGTTCAGGGTTTAAGGTTTGGGGTAATCGCGAAACTCGAGGCGATGATGGTGTTTTTTGGTTCCAAAACATACTGGGCTTCGGGATGAGCTCGCAGCGCAAGAGCCCTCAACTCCCAAGACACCACACCGATGCCTGTTTAGGGTTTGGGGGTATAAGGGGTTATAGGGTGTTTAGGGTTTAGGAGTAAGGGGTTGTAGGGTTTAGGCTTTTTAAGCTTTCGGGGTTTTGAGGTTATAGGGCATGGGATCTTGTAGCTAAGATTGCTGAGTTCAGCCATTGGAACATCCGGCTCAAGAGGCGACGGCACGGAGAAGACGAAATTTCTCCGGGACCTGCCTGTGCGGCCGAGGACCAACGCAACGCATTTGTTTTTGAAGTAGACGAACCCTAAGCCCTACAAACCCTGTGCCCTAAACCCTAGGTTTAGGATGGTTTAGCCTCTCTCTCTCTCTCTCTCTCTCTCTCTCTCTCTCTCTCTCTCTATATAGAGAGAGAGTTTAGGGTTGTCAACCCGATCTTGTCTCGGTGTTTTTGTAGTTTTCGGTTTTCGTAACGGGGTTCGCTGCTTGTTTAAGAGGCTTGGGAGGTTTGGGGTGTTGTTCTTTTCTTCACTTGCGGTTGACATGCGCATCCAAGCGCAAGCAACGGCTTGTCTTTCGAACGAGGTGGTGGAGCGTCGGCGGCAGTGTCCAAGTTTAGACTGATTTATATGGTGGGCTTTCATAACATAATTACAGGTCTAGTTCTAATCCTAGCAGATTCCGTCTGTGGTCGGATCTCGGGTGCATTGTAGGATTTCGGGTTCGCAGATCGATTACCGCAACTTCTGCTTCGGGACTGTGGTATTTCAAGCTCACGTTTCATTCTGCAGACCCTGGTAAAACATCTTAAGCCCCGAACCTGCAGACTCTGGGCAGGCCAGATGTGAAACCGGCGGCCGGCTCATGGCTGCCCCTTTTTACTGTGCGGCGGCCGCTCTTCGAGGGGAAGGCACATACCCAGCGGGTCCGTATACACTACAATTATGGAACTAGGTCCCCAAAACCATAATGGGGATGGTCTTTTAGGGCCTAATTCCATAACGGTAGTGTATATGGACCCTCCGGGATAGGGATTTAGACCTTCAGCGATCCCCTTCAGCTTATGAAGTGCTGTAGGCTAGGACCTAGAGTAGGCCCTTATTCTCTTGTTTAGGGTTCAGGTTCCCTTTTATGCCCCTTTAAACCAAAAAGGATTATTCCTAGGTCACTCTTGGGTCTTGTAGGTCATATAGGAGTGAACCTTAATATAGTACCCTAAATAGTAGGATCCCTGTTTTCACGACCGCAAAATCAGGTACCTTCAATTTTCGGAAACTCCCATATTGGAGTTAGGCAACATGAGCCTCAAGGCCTGTAGCATGCGTTAGTAGGACGAGGCTTGGGCCAAGAGAGGTTTCATGCTTGAGTTCGTGCTCAGGAAGCGTGAACCCTAAACCCTAAACCCAGTGCAGCTTTTCGTAGTCAGAGGCTTTTGGACTTCAGGGGCGCAGCGACCGGTCCCACTCCGCCTGAAATTGAACGCACTCCCTCAGTTCTAAACTACTTCTCGACAAACTGCTGACCCTGAGGCTCCATGTGCCCACATAGACATAGTATTGCTTAGGCCTTATAAAGAGACTTGTCAAATAAGTACACGTAGAGGGATGCATGAGAATCCTGTCATTTGCGAAGTTCAAGATGAAATCTTCGAGATATTCCGGGGGAAGCATTCCCGACATAGTTGCCTCATGCATGCTTTTTAGGGCAATCGTGTGCTTCAGTCACGGCGCATGCAGCCCCAGACGTGGCCATTCAATTTATCACACTGAGTACCATGCTTCAAACTCTATAAACTTCAACCCTAAACTATGAGTTGATATTGGTATCTTTTGCAGTATGGGAGTTTCCGAAAATTGGGGGCAACTTAGTTGCCTTATAATAAGGATCCTACTATTTAGGGTGCTATATTAGGGCCCTCTAATTTCGGAAACTCCCGTATCATCACTAAGCCGGCGACTCGGAACAGCAGGTCAGGAAGTTTAGCCTTTTTGAGCCCCGCTTCCTGCGCGTCTTCGATGACCTCAAGGAGTCCACCGGATTTTGGGGCTCACTCAAAAGCTCCATGTACCCATATACTTAGGCCTGAAAGCAGCCATATAGGGACCCCTTCAAGGCTTAAGTGCCTACTATATGGGTACATGGAGCCTTGGGGTCAGGGTTTGGTAATGTGAGGCCAGAGGGGTGTAATGTAGGGGCCTCAATAGTTAGACTAGGTTTTTTTTGGCGGTTCCTTATGATAGTTATAGTATAACATCCGCCCAAAGGCTACTATAGTTGCCTTAGGAAATATTTTGATCATTTAAAACCCGACAGAAGTTTAACAGATATTAGTGTTATTAGCGTTCTAAGGGTGATATAGGCTGGAGGGGTGTAGGGTGTTTAGGGTTGATACAAGTAGCTTGAGGGCTTCAGAGCTAGTTTATGGGCTTTTATGGAGTTGGGTGGGGGTTGACACCTCTTCACAAGTTGCTCGGCAAAGTCCCAAGTCCAGTGCTTGTCTTGATCTCGAGCAACCTTCTGATAGCTCCACAGCTGCTACGCGACTTGTTTTTTCGTGAGCAGCCCGACGCTGCCAGTATAGGGGCCTTTGTAATTACCTATACTATTCTGGGGTTCCTTAGTGTAATTACAGTATAATGGGCCCTAAAAGCCCGCTCTAATTCTTAAGGCCCCTTTACTACTCCCTCCTCAACCCTCTTGAGCCCTCCTCGCATCTCCAACAGCTCTATGGCCGAAGTCCCATCGCCTAAGCAGACGCCTGCACACTGCAGGCCTTGAACCGCCAACCCCAGATGGGAGTTTCCGAAAACAGGGGACCCTAATATCGTACCCGAAATAGTAGGATCCTTATTATAAGGACGCCAAAATGAGGTACCCCTAATTTTCGGTAACTCCCAGATGCCTACTTTCAGGGTGCCTATAATTTTGCTTTAAGTTCTTAAGGTTGTGGACCAGAAAGCCGCAAATCTCCAAGAACGACTTTCGCAGATTCAAAAACTTGAACATCCCCAAAGGACCTCAATGCCTCGAAAGCCCTCAACTGCGCCAAAATTGCGCGTCCAAAAATCTCATGCCAGAAAGCCTACGTACTCAAAGCCCGAAGTTCGAGATGCACGAACCAGGACAAAAACACTCAAAGCAGGAGTGTCGCCAACGTTGCAAGTCCGAAAGGAGTCCGACATGCCGATACTGACGCGAAAGCCTTCAATCTCAAAACCTTCAAGGCCCTCAAATAGCTCGAAAGCCCTCAGCGGCCTGAAATCGCGGATAGCGTGAGCAAGAGTGTGGCTCCGGAAGGAGTCCGAAATCCCGATGCCCGAAAGTCCTGAATCTCAAAACCTCAAAACCCTGAAGGCCCTCAATGCCTCGAAAGCCCTCAGCAGCCCGAAATCCTGCATAGCAGGAGCAGGAGTGTCGCCCGAAATGAATTCCGATGCCCGAAAGTCCTCAATCTCAAAACCTCAAGACCCTCAAGGCCCTCAAATCCTGGATGGCAGGGGCAGGAGTGTCGCCCAAAATGGCAAGTCCGGAAGGAGTCCGAAATCCCGATGCCCGAAAGTCCTCCACCTCAAAACCTCAAGACCCTCAAGGCCCTCAATTCCTCGAAAGCCCTCAGCGGCCTGAAATCCTGGATAGCAGGGGCAGGAGTGTCGCCCAAAATGGCAAGTCCGGAAAGAGTCCGAAATCCCGATGCCCGAAAGTCCTCAATCTCAAAACCTCAAGACCCTCAAGGCCCTCAATGCCTCGAAAAGCCCTTAGCGGCCTGAAATCCTGGATAGCAGGAGCAGGAGTGTCGCCCAAAATGGCAAGTCCGGAAGGAGTCCGAAATCCCGATGCCCGAAAGTCCTCAATCTCAAAACCTCAAGACCCTCAAGACCCTCAAGGCCCTCAATGCCTCGAAAGCCCTCAGGACAGCAGGGGCCGGAGTGTCGCCCAAAATGGCAAGTCCGGAAGGAGTCCGAAATCCCGATGCCCGAAAGCCCTCAATCTCAAAACCCCAAGACCCTCAAGGCCCTCAATGCCTCGAAAGCCCTCAGCGGCCTGAAATCCTGGATAGCAGGAGCAGGAGTGTCGCCCAAAATGGCAAGTCCGGAAGGAGTCCAAAATCCCGATGCTCGAAAGTCCTCAATCTCAAAACCTCAAGACCCTCAAGACCCTCAAGGCCTCGAAAGCCCTCAGCGGCCTGAAATCCGGGATAGCAGGGGCAGGAGTGTCGCCCAAAATGGCAAGTCCGGAAGGAGTCCGAAATCCCGATGCCCGAAAGCCCTCAATCTCAAAACCTCAAGACCCTCAAGGCCCTCAATGCCTCGAAAAGCCCTTAGCGGCCTGAAATCCTGGATAGCAGGAGCAGGAGTGTCGCCCAAAATGGCAAGTCCGGAAGGAGTCCGAAATCCCGATGCCCGAAAGTCCTCAATCTCAAAACCGCAAGACCCTCAAGACCCTCAAGACCCTCAAGGCCCTCAATGCCTCGAAAGCCCTCAGGACAGCAGGGGCCGGAGTGTCGCCCAAAATGGCAAGTCCGGAAGGAGTCCGAAATCCCGATGCCCGAAAGCCCTCAATCTCAAAACCTCAAGACCCTCAAGGCCCTCAATGCCTCGAAAGCCCTCAGCGGCCTGAAATCCTGGATAGCAGGAGCAGGAGTGTCGCCCAAAATGGCAAGTCCGGAAGGAGTCCGAAATCCCGATGCCCGAAAGCCCTCAATCTCAAAACCTCAAGACCCTCAAGGCCCTCAATGCCTCGAAAGCCCTCAGCGGCCTGAAATCCTGGATAGCAGGGGCAGGAGTGTCGCCCAAAATGGCAAGTCCGGAAGGAGTCCGAAATCCCGACGCCCGAAAGTCCTCAATCTCAAAGCTTGAAGAATCCGAAATCATGATGCCCAGAAGCCCTGAAGTCTCGGATTCCGGGATGCGCAAGCCCGGAAACCTCAAGCCCCCAAACCCTCAATACCTTCAGCTCGGCCGCGTTTCTGAGAATGTAAGAGCGTTATAGTAGTTAGTAGTTAGAGTAGGGTCTGGAGGTTTTGCTTGTATGGCATCAGCAGTGAGAATATGTGGAGGGTCATGGGGCTTACTAACAAGGGCTATGATTAAGGCAACTATATTATAACTTATAACTACTTGTAACTCCATTTAGGGTATTGATAGCCTTAGTCTACTAAGTCCCATGATCATCCAAGTAGGGTCTGGAGGTATCCTGTAGTATACCCAACGGCCCCAAAGTAGTTCCTTTTTGGGGTTCATATATATATAGAATCCCATAAGGTAGGAGCTACTTTGGGGCCTTGGGGTAGTTTCAGGAACCTGAAGGAAGGGCGTTGGAAGTTTTCCGGTTCCCAGATTAGCAGGAGAGTACCCCATAATCACCGCACCATACTCCTGAGGCCCTATTCGGGTCTGAAGGGGAGGTTTGGGGTTTACGTTAGAAGGGGCCCCCACCCTCTAATAGTGGTATAATAGGAATATCATAGGGCCCTAATATAATCCTATAGTCACTGTTACAGGGTGGGGGCCCCTTCTAGGGTTTAGGGTTTAGTCGTCCTTGGGCTGCTTTACACCTCAGCCACCGGTCCGTGCAAACATTCTTTGTATCAACGCCCTCAACACCAAAGTTCATATGGGACGTATACATTGATTCTGTGGGCATGCCCTCACCTCTATATCTCTACATGAGCCGTAAATTTGAACCTGCAAAGAGGCCCGCATTAGAGGACCTTGAGCTCCAAATCGCAAGCCCCGAAGGCAATAGTAACAAAGACAGCAATGTTACAATGCCCGTGTTTCTTGTTGTAACTATGCTATAATATGTCCCAAACCCCTGTTCGAAATATTCAGGACCCCATATGGCAATCCTATCAAAGCCAGCAGCCAGGAAGCAGGCCTCGCGAAGCCGGGATTGCGCATTGCGGTCGCGAGGAGCTCAGCTTGTCTGAAGGGTTTAAGAATAGTATAGGGGCCTCAATAATCACCTATACTATTTCTGGGGGTTCCTTATTCTAATTGTAGTAGAATTGGGCCCAAAACCCTAATTATTCTAATTCTTTATCCCTATATTGGTCAGGCTAAGAAAGGGTTCCAAGGAGTTTCGGCTGTGAGATGTTACGGGGAACAGGGTGCCCTGCTCGAGTCCCCGGCCCTGGTATAATCGCCCAGGTACCCACTCTTGCGGGGTGAGTCGACCTCCTTCACTCTACTTGGAGGTTCATGGGACTTGGTGGGTGTTATAAGTACCCTATTTGGAGTTGTAAGTATAGTTACCTTATTCATAACCCTAGTTACTACGTCCCATGATCCGCCAAGTCTTGACAGTACGTTGAATGTCTTGCACAAACAGTCCTGAGCCGTGAACTTTTCGACTTCTGCTCTTCCTGCTCGAAGATTCCTCTGGATTCTTGGATTTCTATGGCTTCTCTGCGAGGTTTAGGGCAGACGGACGGGCGATCAGCTTAAGGGTGTCATAGTGGTGTGAGGGGGAGGCTTCTGCGAAGGGTTTAAGGTTGGTTGTCCAGTCAAGAGCTTGCCGGAACGAATTGCTGATGCTGTGCAACCCGAATGAAGCCCCAAAGCCCACCAAAAATGTCGATGCACACAAACCCTAAGCCACCTAAGCCCTAAACCCTAAGCCGAATGTAGATCCCCCCCAAATCACCAAAACTCGACGTTCTGACCCTGGGCCTGAGGATTTGGCAGTTTCCCAGGGCGTCCAAATCCCCTTAATTAAAAAATATACCGTAATACCTTAAATCATCTTAGGGATCCTGTTGTAACTTAGATCAAAGGTAGAGTCCTTAATTCAGGGGTTTTGGAGTGTTTAGATTCATGGTGCTGCAGACTTGGTCGTGTAGACTCAAAGGGGGCAGGGTTTTGTGAGTTGAGGGTTGTAGTTTCGGATTTCAGATTGCCTACAGTGAAATGCCTTGTAAACCCCACACTCAAACCCTAAATCCTATGTACCTATCGATCTATGTGTAATCAATGTATATATACATATATATATATATATATATATATATATATATATATTCTCATCAATTTACACACGCACATAAAACCCCAAGCCCCCAAGATCAGATATAGATGAGGAATTTCGGATGGCCGAGGTCTATGCTCCGCACGGGGTGGAGAGGCCTCTGGGCCTCTGGCAGACGGAGGCACTGCCCCAAGGTTTATCGGATTTAGGGTTTAGGGTGTAGGTGCATAGGATTTTCGGGCATTTTTTGGGTTTAGGTCTAATCACACCCTAACCCTAAACCACCGAATTTGGCAGAACACCGGCGGAAAAACCGCACGCCTGGACCCCTCCCCCTCCCTTCTCGATGGCTATGCCTGGCCGCCTGAAACACAGGAGCTGAAATAGCAAGCCATTCAGCCAGCCCCAGCCTTGAAGGTTTCAGGTTTTAGAGGGTTAGGGGTTTAGGGTTCTAAATCCTAGGTCCTGGGTGTTGGGGTAGAGTTTACAGGACATCAGTCTGCAGAAGTGAGTGCTTTGGTGGGTTTAGTCTTCTTATGGATGAGGCCCGGAAGGCTTTAAGACTGAAGTGTGTGAGGGTCTTCGGCTGTAGGGTGTCAGAAGCTAGGAGTTACAGGCAGGTGTAGGGTTTTTCACGTGAAGCCTTCAGTGTGACACTGGCCGGGAGGAGTTCTCCGCATTATGTGTGTGTGTGTGTGTGTGTGTATACAAAAAACATGTATATGCATGTAATATCTAGGGATATATATATATATATATATATGTATGTGTCTATATATATATATGTTTATGCATGTAACATCTAGGGATGGCTACATGCATGCAGGGAGGGAGGTAGGCAGGTATACACACAGCGCGTTCCCTGCCTACATATTGCAGTGAAGCTTCTTTCTGAGGGGCGGTGTTTGTCCCTTCCAGCATCTGATCCCTGTATTACTGCGCCGAGAAGACTTATTTAGACTGTGTGGCTCAGAGCCGGTGAACTCTTTGGGTTTAGGGGTTTAGGTTTTAGGGTTCGGACCGAGTTTGAAAGCATGCCCGCGCGCAGCACCAGATGACGAGTGCTAAGCTGAGGAAGCTTCCGATGGCACCAGGCACCTGTTCCTCTTCGAGGGGATGCAAGCTGCAGTTGGGGCACACGAATGAATTCCTGCAGCTTTGGAACATGTCCTGTCAGAGAATGTGCAGGCCTAGCAGATTTTGCAACAGCCAGCTGGCCTGGATTCCCTGGACTTTGATCAGCTGGACAAGCAAGGTTTCCAGACAGGGACAGAGCGACTCCCTTTTTGAGGCTGTGAAGATTGCCGAACAACTGCTCCCAGCCTCTGCAGCCCTAAAGCACGGCTTCTGTAGTATGCCGATGCAAACGCGAGCGAAGCTGACAAGCTTCCTTTGTTAGTCATTGTCATGGTTCCAAGAATGTAATTCTACGATATAGGGACCCATTGAGTTTACAGGCTTGTTATTGCATGGGCTTACGTCTAAGATATTCATGCGAAAGACATGTAGATAAGAAGACCAGTGAATCCCTAAGCCATAAGCCCCACACCCCGATACAAGGCTGCTCTTTCAAGCATGCTCTTGAGTGTAGCACCAGCTCTCACACCACGAAGGCGTCTTGGCTTCCTGCTCGGCCGGCGGTGCCGCTGGAAAGCCTGCCGCCCCTGGCGGTGCAGGCCAGAGACTGCCTTTGGTACCCTACGTTACATGGGTGTTCTCGAAATCAGGCCACTTGTCAGCGCGCCTCATGAGCAGAGGAACAGCCGTACCTCTTGCACCGAACCCAAACTATTCCGGGTATGCTTCGAACGAAAGAGGGTTGGAGGAGTGTGCGAGAACAAGTATAGAACCAAGACTGGTCCAGTCCACCCTATAGTTGTTGATTCCAAAGTGCCGAGTAGCTAGCTGTGTAAAAACTTGAATCTTACTTGGAAGATGGTAGAACTCACGGTTACTAAGCTCGTTGTAGGTGAAAACTCAACGTACTTACCTAATGAAGCTCTTAGTCCACTTACGTACTTAATTGTAACTCAGTAACTAGTGGTAGGTGAGAACTCAACGAAACAACCCTCACAACATACTGAAGCTCTTAAACCTGCTTACTTACGTGAGTCCCCGAGCCAGAAGCGCAAGCGCAGGTGGAAGTCGTGCTGGAGCCAGAGGCGCAGCGCCGAGCGTTCCCTAAGAGCCCATGTGCTTACATAGTGTATACGTTGGCCTCCCAAGTATATACAGCATGGGCACATGGGCCCTTACTTGGGCCTTGAGGTACCTTTATACGGACTACTTTAGGGCCAACATATATTATATACCATGTAAGTACGTAGACCCTGAAAGCTTCTAGATGTTGAAGGTTCCGGGACTTTCTAGTTGATGAGTTAATTCTGGCCGGACTTGTGAGTAAATAGCAAGCTTGTGTTGGTGATTTTTCACGGCTTCAGTAGATCATGGACATGTTTAGAATACTACTCCACCTCCAAGAGCCCTACTTGACTCAAACCGCTTCTGTAGTGGCCTCGAGCAGCACAACCACTACAATTGTGTTGATGGCCCTGCTGTTTGATTGAAAACCCGCTAAACTCATCACCGTTGCGATTCGTCCTGCGTCCCAGCGACTAAAAGTCTATATTGGTTAAGGTCAAGGTTGTTTGGGAAGCGGGGGGGTGCCTCTCGCACGTTAAACCCTAAGCTCAAAACAACCATAACCCCTCTTGGAAGGATACCCATGTAATTAGCAACCATCGTGTCAAAGCACGGTGCGTGCACACACACACACACACACACACACGCACACACACACACACACTCACACCATAAACTCTAAATTCCTTGTCATTCTTCCCAGCACAACGTGAGGTCCGTGTGGTCGAGGTGGAGTCAATCACGGAGGCAGTTGGCGAGGCTGGAACATGGGTTTATGGTTTCAGGGAATATAGGGGCCAAAACAAATCCCCATATTATACTCTTTCGAGATTCGTGATCATAGTCATCGTAGCAATTAAATCACCTACTGAACTTGCTGACCATCATGTTGAGGGTCCTAGCAGGATGCGAGTTCAACTGGGCACCCTAACCGGTGTCAGCAGCCTTCCAGTACAGCCGAGAATTGGATTGCGACATCTGGTGTTCTTTTGTCTGTACCACCTAAACCCTAAACCCCCTCAGCCCTAAACCCTAAACCCTTATGGGGACCAGGTAAACCCCCAGCGCTTGAGATGTGCCAGGATGGTCGACGACGATGGCGCCTTGAAGCCCGAGGTGTCGCCAACAGTTGTATCATTGTAGCTTGGGTGCACAGAATAGTAACAATAAAACGAGTAACCATAAATAGTAACAGTAATAGCTATATCATACTTAGTTACACAAAATGACAGAGTAGTAGCAACAACGATAGTCACAATTGTGACAATGACAGTTTTTACACATAGTACATTAAGTAAGTAGTAACCATAAAGGTAATCACATTCGTGCGACAGTACTAGCAGTTACATAGAATCTTTAAAATCCTGAGGTTACAGTAACTTTTTTGAATACAAAACTGCAAGGGGCTATTCCAATGATGGTTCGATTATGGTTGGTTCTAAGGGCTCTAAAAGTAATCGTAATATTAATAACCGCAATCATAGTCAAAGGTGTGTCTTTTTTTAGGAGATGGCTTCGACGGTTCAGGTTCAGATTCCCGAACCCTGAAACCGCGGTCTTGCCAACCCAAATTCGAATCTAAAACCCCGAAGCTTGAAGACCCTGCAACCCCGAGGGTCCGTTTGCAATACCATTGTGGAATTAGGTCCCAAACAGTTGGCACCCTAAAGTCCTGAGAAAGCCATACGAAAACTCTAAACCTTCTCAGAGCATCCAAGTACCAATATAGTCGGCACTTCGTAGATATTTGCCCCCCCCCCCCCCCCCGGGCCCAAACCCTAAACCCTAAAACAGGCACTTCGGATACGCTGGCCACCCGCAGCTGCGACATCTCAGCCGATGAGCCGGCGACCGAAAAGTGTGAGTTTCCGAAGTTCGAAACAACCCGAGTTCAGAGGGGTGTGTAGGGGTTTAGAGTTTTAAGGGTCCGAAAGGCGAAAAACTTGGGACATTGGGTGCAACAAGAGCAGTAAGGTTTGGGTCCGCAGGACCAAACTTGGATAATCGGGTGCGGTATAGCAGTAACATTGGTTAGTATTAGCGGAAGTATATGCATGATGGTGAGGGACTTGGGCCCCTTGGGTGACCCCTGATCCTGTGGAATGTGAGAGGAGCGAGGCAGTTGGAACATCGTCATGCTCATGCGCTCTAGGGCAAAATATAGGAAATCCCAGCACTAATCATCCTTAGCGTACTGATTCTGGCAACAATCCTCTTTGCGTGGAGGCTTTGCTGAGGCTTACAGGAATCTGCCCCCTGAGCATCAACGGTTTGAAGTTGAACGGATGCAGGATATACTTCTGCTATTGACATTTTCAATCTTTAGGGTGCCGTGCTGAGGAGAGAGAGAGAGAGAGAGAGAGAGAGAGAGAGAGAGAGAGACAGAGAGAGAGAGGGAGACATGGCCAGATTGGCCAGATCTGTCTGCTGAAGCCCGTGAATGCCTAAACTTAAGGACGCAAGTCTGGTTGCCTATCTGGTAGAAAAGCTTAAATACTACAAAGGAGTCCAAAACCCTATTCTAATTCTTAAGGCACCGCCAGTATACTTGTGCCACCAGGTTCGGAGCTTTGTGGCTTGCCGAAGACAAAGGCCGCTTGGCCGGGCTACAGAAACCTTCTGAGTCTGGGACCGTTTAGGGCTCAGGGTTCAAACCCTAGACCCTAAACCCTGGAATGGCAGTCGTCTTTGAACCAGAAGCATCCTTTAAACCCTCACCCTAATCCTCGAAGCCAGAGCCGTAGGACCTTACTGTAGGAAGCTTCAGCCCTTGCCAAAGGTGCACGAGAGCCCTCTCCTGAGTCCAAGGCCAAAGCCTCGGAACATGTGCGACACACAGTATACCCCATTATCATAGTATACTATAGACTATACAGACTAGACCCTGCTATAAATATATTTTAGCAAAAACTGTTGCCTACCGTCCACTTGTTTGCGGTCTTTGGTATAGTGTAGAGAGTTGTACTTTCCTGGAGCCGGTTTGGTTGCATATCTGAATAAACCTCCATGTCCAGTGGCCCATCAACCGTTGAGGCTGCGGCAGCAGCGGAGAAGGGCCCCATCAAATGTGCGGCTGTGGTCCCTGGACTCAGGGGGGCTCAGGAAGTTTTTGAGGTCGGGTGCAAGATGGTGTTCAGGGTTTCAGGGTGGCGACTGGAGGGCTTGGGATGCATCAAGGGTTCGAGAGAGTCGGGTTCTGGGTGTTGCATTTAGAGTTCGCAGTCGCTGCGGGGGCGGGTCCTACCACTCTAAAGATACCTAGACATGGTAGAGGCACCAGGAAGGACAGTAGCTGATGGGGTCTTTCTTTTTGTAGGCAAATCGAACCCGCGAGCCCAGGTTGCATGGGATTTGTATTACACCGGCACCAACTGTGGACTCAGGCCGTTTACGACTTCAAGGTGTTGCGATTGTGGACTTGCCAAAATTGCAGGGCGTTTTCGTTCAAGCTGCAATGAACTTAAACTTCGGCAATCTTCTTGAACTCTGAATCCCCGAAAGCACCCAAATCCTGGCTTTGTCTTCAGAGTTGACCCTGCGCTGTTAATTACCCCAAGGCCCCTGGGGGGGGCAAGATGCGGCAGGGCATTCTGTATATACATGTTGTTGTTCATACATAGGTTTTGTACTAAATACTTTATACATTTCAAGGCTTATATGGTATGTTACATAGCATATGATACACATTTTCCACTATGCATGACAGAATTATGTAGTTTGCGTCCAGTCTTCTTTAACCTTGTCTCGCGATTAGGTCGGGCTGATGCATGTGAATAGCGCGGAGCTCAGTTGTCTGTCAGCCAGGGGAGTCTAACATAGGGGGTTGGAATAGCTTAGCACAACATTCCTTTCTGGTCGCTTCATAGTTATAGAAGAATGCAGAGGTTGGAATAGTTCAACATAGTATTACAGTATGGTCCCGATAGAAATCTAGCATCTACAGCCTAAGCCGATAGCACGGCCATGATATCATCCTGCTCGGTTTGGTCACGACTTGTTTGACGGCATGTAAATATGAGCTCAAGATGCTGCAAGTATCCCTGGGAGTCTGAAGACCATGTGGAGCGCCGGGGTCGAAGATGCTTGATGTCGAAGCGAGTTCTCTGGCTTGTGGTCTTCAGCGTTCTTCTTCGTGCCGCGATTTAGCACCGCCAGTTGCAAGCAACGACCTAAGCCTGTGAACTCCAACATGTCGCAACACCCCTTTTTCCGTATGAACTCCCCTGTCGGGTTTTGAGTGGGTGCAGGCCATAGCAGACAGGCATGCTGACTCAAATCTAGTTTTGCGTAGGTTCGGTTCCGCTTGGGCTCTTACTTACTGAGTTATAGAGGGTACATCATACATCTCTTCAAAGTAGCTGAAGCCCGCACACGCTTAAACAGAGCGATTGGAGAACCTCGCAGCCAAGACCACAAAACCCCTGCATTTTTGCGTTTTGTTTTTTTTTATTTTTGTGGTTTCGGGGTTCCGGGTTTGGGGGGGGGTTCGGGGCCCGCCTAAAGCTAAGTCGGCAAGCCTCCCTGAACCCCACCCACACGTTCAGGCATGCTCGAGCGTTTGCACGAGGAGGCCGTGGCAGACCCAGCCGCTGTCTAGACAGAAACACCCCAAAGGAGGGTTTTTAGTAAGAGACCTAATCTATTTTCCGAAACCCGAAAACCTTCTGCTTAGGAAGGATTCCGGAAGTGTGGAGTGTGCTCCTTTTTGCAATAGACCCTGCATCTTATTCGGGCCAAGCCTATTCCTAAACCCTAGACAAACAGCTAGACCTTAAAGCCTACCCGAGAACATGATTGTCAGACAATACCCTGCTTCATGGGTTGACAACAAGTTGACCCTGTCTGCATCGATCGGTTGTGGCAAAAGGCGTGGGAGCGGGACGGGGGGAGGGGGTGAGTGGGTGGTCAAGCATCGCCCTGCAGAGTCGTCAGGCTTTATGGGTTTAGTGGCAGCTTGGCACTACTTCAATAGTCAGTACTGGGTCAGTATTGCTCGGTCAAGACTATTCACCGTGACCGGCCGCAATGTACCGTACAGCTCTTGAGCTCGATGCTTTCGCCCAGCGAACTTAATGCGTGAGCCACCGCCTACGTGGCACCCATATGTACAGATGTTTAAAGTTTGGCGCTTGTTTACAGACTGCGGGGCTTCACCCCATTCGAGATATTTCGAGACGCTGTTTCTGGAACAATACGAGCGCCACACCCTGACCCCCGGGAGGTGCCTCACTCCATAACTTGCAAGCTAGGCTATCGCCCTAACCGTCAAGGGTACCAACATTCAAAAGCCGAAAGACTCTTCCCATTGTTTAGTGAAGGGCTATGCGGAATTCAAGGGTTATCATGACGTTGCCTTCGAGGATACCCTAGAAGCTTATCTACATTCGTTGAAACTCTAGACCCATGCTACAAAGCCCTAGCCCAAATTTTCTCGCTGCAAGCCCCCCCTCACCTCCACGCCAGAAAGCACATATCAACTTATCAACAGCCTTTGCAAGCGCCAGAGCCACCAATCCAAGCCCTTGAGAATCGAGGGATCTGTACGACGGAGCTGCTGACAAAGCATGGTGTAATGCATTCGCTTGTAGCTGAAGGTTTGCTTGTTTCCACGTGGCGAGGAAGACGGACACACAAAGAGAGAGAGAGAGAGAGAGTCAGAGAGAGAGACAGAAAAAGAGATAGAGAGCCCGAAACCCCAACCGTCCAAAGAAAGGGAGAGAGAGAGAGAGAGAGAGAGAGAGAGAAGTTGTTTTGTTCTCCGCAGACGTTTCGGGGAGCGCCTCCAGCCCCATCTTTCTGTCGCCATGGCGGTCCAGATCGCAAACGGGAGCGAGGAGCTTTTGGTGCCCTAGCTGCATGGGTCGCATGGGTTGCGGTGTTTTGAAGGTATCGTCGAGTTTCCAGGCTTTTCGGGTTCTGTGGATTCTGCAAGTTTGAATAGTGTAAACCTGGGACAACCGAGCGAGTAACTTCCAGGTGGATGCTAGTTCAACCAAAAACTTACCCAAAACTTGAGAACCCTGTTTATTGTTGAAATGCAGGTTCAAAGTCTGGGAGCAGCATTAGCCTGTGCCACTTATGTATCAACGTCACACCGTGTCAGGGGGTCTCAGAAAAGCTCCGGAGAACAGCACGCTGTTGGTTGTCCCACGGTTCTGATAAAGGCTTTGCAGCAAATAGTCGCTCGCATCCGACAATGTCGGGCAATGTCGGGTGCATCTGACCCGTGGCAGGCAGCGCAAGCCGCCCGCAATGATGAGGAGCAGCAGCACAGGCAGTATAAACTACATGAGTGTTTGGGCCAGTGCCATCAGATGCCATCAGGCTCATGCTTGTCGATTGCCAGCTCATGCTTCGGACCCTCCTTCAGAGTGACAATACCCTAAGGCCCTAAAGTAGTTCTTTTTTGGGGTTCGTATATAGAATCCTATAAGGTAATCCCAAAAAGGAACTACTTTGGGGCCTATGGGTACCAGCACTTAGCTACTCATGCTCCACTCGCACAAGACTGCCGTAATTCGGCACAGGCGACTCAGATCAGCAGCCGCAAAGCACGGGCCACGCGGCTAGTGACTACAGTGGGCCCAAGCTTCGTGTCAATCTCGGCCGTGGCATGGAACAAGAACCACGACTGAAACGCCGGAGCGTGCAGGAGTTTGAGTTCTGCTTGGAGAAAGGTCGCACCGATGCTTGTCCGCACTTGCTATATTGATGTGGTCACGAAAGAGGCTCGAAGTGGGGCATGGGACAGTACACATGCATTAGGCGTAGGGTTTCCGGGTTGCCTCGTGAGAGCATCACGTCGTTGCAGATCTGGTCTTTACAAAAAGTTACAAGCTCTTTGAATTTCGAGGTCCGACACGATTACTTCAGCACTGCTTGCAACTCGGGCAGCTAAGGAGAAGTCAGCAGCCTGGCAAGAGTTAGAGCAAGACGCACGGTTCAGTCTCGTATGACAATGATCGGTGATCATCTTCGGAAGGCTACATGATACATAGATAAATCCCTCGGCCGCAGCACCGATCCCAGTAGCTATAACATCGGCGCACTGTGCCAGTTCTAGTTCTGCTATTGCTTACCACCAAAAGCATTCTGATTATCATGATGACTAGTAGTCTAATCCAGACTCTCTGTAGCCCGCATAGACTGTTTCGACAAAAGCGACAGGCAAGCTGTCAAGGACAAGACTGCTGGAGCGTGAGTGAGACCTTTAGCCGTAAAAGGGTTAAGGTTTAGTGCTTAGGGTTCTAGGGTTGTAGGGTTTGGGGTTTAGGGTTTAGGGCTTTAGAGAGTTTTGGGTTTACGGTTTGCAGATGTTTGCGGTTTACACAGACACAAAGTCCCGCACCCCCAAGCAAGCACGTCCAAAATCGTCCAAACATTCGCTTGCTCGACCAGATCGGCGATGACGGCACCGATGGCGAGGACCCTGGGATGCTCAAACTTAAATGGGACTTTCCGAAAATGAGGGTACCATATTTGGGGGTCCTTATAATAAGGATCCCACTATTTAGGGTACTATATTTGGGTCTCCGATTTTCGGAAACTCACAAATGATGCGGCCTTGCCAGGCTAACGCTAGGGTTTCTAATCGACTTTAATACGATTCCTTGTGGTTCTGTAGTATACTTATACTATAACAAGCCCCCAAACCACTACGGATTCTAATTTTTACGGCCCCTACAAGAAACCTCCATAGAAACCCTAGAGGAGCCCGGCAAGGCGCAAGCTTCCCATGGGAAACCGCCAGACAAGCTTAGTAGGGTTTACCTTAGGTACGGCCCCCTTACAGTAAGAGTCTATAATAGGGCTGCTATTAAGGTCCTAATATATCTATATTATGAATATTATTCAAATATTACTGAGTGGGGGCCGTACCTAAGGTTTACCTGTAGCCGAAAAGACCTATATACCTTTTTAGGGTGCCCTACTATGGTTTCTATATATACCACCCGATATTCCCAGCTTTACGGTCTGCAATAAAGGGCTTCGTACTACGGTGTTCCTTGTAGGTCCCTTTAGGGGTAACTTACATTCGGCTCCGTCTCCCTGAGACATTCCTAAACCCTGTAAGCCGCAAAATCCTAAACTAGCCCTAACCACACTGAACATTCCTACCAAAACTTGAAAGCCTGGAGGCCCTAAGTCCCAGAACCAGAAACTCCAGGCCCAGCAGTCCCCAAACTCTGGAACTTGTAGGCCTGAAGCCCCCAACTCAGCAGGAGAAGGAGTTCTACCCTCTGTGGAAGCTGACGCTCATCGCCATTCCACAGCTCGGTGTGCAGGTCTGGGGTTGAACTACCTGGACGCTATAAAGACCGTCCTTCTTAGGGCTCCCGCTATTATGATTTGATATATAGAGGGTCCTGAGAAAGATACTCGGAGGATCATGGGACTTAGTAACTGGGGTTATAATGTAACTATACTTATAACTCCAATTAGGGTACTTATAACCTTACTTACTAAGTCCCATGATCCTCCATGTAGGCTATTTGGGGTCTAGGTACTGCAGGGCCAAGGGTCCTCCGTTTAAAACTTCGAGGTTTTGAGTGGGGGTTTGGGGTTTAGGACTTCTGGGGTTGAGGCTTTAGGGTGTAGGGCGTCTAGGGTTCAGGGTTCATGGTTAAGCTTAGGGATCTTAGGGTCTGGTCTTAGTTCGTCTTTAGTGTTGCTGTTTGCTTGGGCTTCAGGGTATTTAGGGTCTTATGGGTTTCGGAGGCAGGGAGTAGGGTTTTGGGTCAGTAGGGTTCTAGGATGATAGAGGCCTAGGGCTTCTGCAACAATGTAACAAGTCACATAGACATGCCGCCAGGTGATGTGGTGCTTCATCGGGCCCAATGCTTCTGACCTGAACTGGCGGCACCGGGGCCCGTTCAGGGTGTAGGGTGCAGAGTTTGGGTTTAGGGCCTGAAACTACAGGAATCAAAAAATTGTGTTGTGCATCGCGCTCGTCACAATATTTCGTGCTAACCAAGACGCCAGTGAGTACAACAATAAGGTTTGTGAGAATCTCTCCATCCCTCCATCCTTCCATCCATCCATCCATATGTACGTATGTATGTGTTGTAATTCTGTCGTAACTCCGTTACTCACAACTATAGTCTGTCAAGCCAAGGCTGCGCCCTACATGGGCCACCTGGGCGTGGGACCGTCCCTGGCGAGACATGGCCTTTGTGAGTACGTACAACCCAAACCCTTTGATTCGATATGTACCTTACAGAAGAAGCCTAAAAGTTGGGAACCCGATAGCCTCAATCCCTGAGAGCAAAGTATAGGGAATCCCAGCACGATCTGTCCTTAATTAGGTTTCCAACTTTTTGGAGTTTACCCTAAACCCCAAACCCTGTGCACAGCTCGATCCACACAAGGACGTTGAACAACATCGCGGGGCCTATCACCGGCCGCTCGGGCAATCCCACGTTTAGAGTTAATGAAGGAGTTTCCGAAAATTCGGGGGTTCCTTACTTGGGGGTCCTTATAATAAGGATCCTACTATTTAGGGAACTATATAAGGGTCCCCTATTTTGGGAAACTCCCATTTCACTTCCATGAACAGTTTGCCTTTGCGGCAGCTGAACTTTGTGGCGACTGCGTGCTTCGTATGTCTCGCACATATTTTAGGGTTTAGGGTTTAGGGACACTTTGCATTTTGCAGCGAACGCTATCGTCATCACTATGACTATGCAGACAACAGGAAGGAACGCCCATTTTTGCCCGCATCTCAGCAGGCTTTCAAACCTAGCCTACGCACGGGCTTAGGGTATAGTGACCGTCGAGTAAAGCGGCGATGACCCTAAGCGCTAATCCTTTCTTTGCATGATGGCGACAAAACCACGATAGATTAGACGATCCCGTTTATTTAGATCTTCAGGCAACGGCTCCGGGAAATGGCCTAACACTAAAGCTTAAACCCCCGAAGATGCAAAACGCTTAATTAATTAGACCTTAACCCGCGAAGCACCAACACCCTTAAACCCTATCCCAGAACCCTAAACCCTAAACCCTAACCCCCCGAAACCCCCAAAACCCTTAAACCCTATCCCAGAACCCTAAACCCTAAACACTTAACCCCCGGAGAACCCCGAAACCCTATCCCAACCCTCTCCCAGGCTTCTTCACCGGGCCGATCATCGGAGCCATGCCGGGGCACCCAGCATTTTTTCTTGCGTGGAGGACCCTAACTAAGCCTTGAACCGTAAAGTTTAGGGAACAGACGGAAAAGAGCCGTGAAACAAACAAGGAAGTTTAGGCAACTTGGAACCCACATTCCGACTGCTGGGCTCGGTTTTTGTGAGATGATGAGGCTTTGTATCCCGATATTGGGGCTTAGGCTTCAGGGTTTAGGGCTAGGGCCTTAGGGTTTAGGGCCAGGTTGTGCATTTGCAGTCTGTGGATTTTTCGTGCCAGTCGGACGGTATAGACAGCATAGATTAGGCTTTGCGGGCTCAAGATGTAAGTGCCTGCCTGAGGCTCTATGAGTTTCATGCTTTTCAAGGTTTAAGGTTTTAGGGGTTGTATTTAAAGGAGTATTCACAGGTTTCGCCTAGGGTTCCAAGCTTCAGGGAGAAGGTTTGCTTTCAGGATGTGGGCTGCTTTATGCTTTTTGGCTTATCAGTTAAGCAGGGATGAGGAGTCGTGTGCGCAAGAACCGTTTTGAAGCCCCTCGGAACTATGGTTGAACGGTTCTTCGTCAGACTTGGCGACAGCTTAACGTCACGTCACTGTTGATGATCTTGACCTGTTGTTCCTAATTCCAGCAGAATGTGCCAGTAAAGAGGGTTACAGAGATATCAGATCGAAAATATTCATGGTGGAGTGGTATAGGGGCCTTGATAGTTACCTATTCTAGTTTGGGGGTTCCTTCTGATAATCATAGAATCATAGCATAATGGACCCCTAAACCCTATTCTAGTTGCTGAGGCCCTTTAGCAGGTGATTTTCACTGTAGCCTTAGACTCGCTGGGAACTCACCCGAAACCTCGAAGAGTTGAATTTGTGAAGCCTTACACGTTCGCTCACAACCGGAAGTCATGTCCTACTGAGGCAACCCGACAAAACCCGATAACCAAAACCCTTATAGACCTCTCTGAACTCATATAACATCATATATGACTTGTCATAACCGTATGTGCTTGCATCAAACAGCCTGCCAAGAACCTCTAGGCGGTCCTCTGGGAAATGCCGGTGTTCCAAGGTCCGACCGGCTGACCTCCAAGTGGGGTCGCCGGCGTCCGATCATCCTTGGAGGTGGCCGTAATATATATATATATATATATGGTAGTGTTTAAAGTTTAGGGCTTAAGGTTAACATGATATGGTAGTATTTAGCACTACGAAAATGGTACGATACTACTATTTACTAATAATTTTGGGCCTGTAGTAGAATGAGTAGGGCTGTTGCTGGGGAGTTGCGAAGGGTATTTTACTGTAGGATGATATCGGTGCCAGGGCTTCTGCTAGGTACTTGTTAAGGGCATTTTCGTGTTTAGCTGTTTAGGCTTTATGCAGGTTTTACTGGGGTTTAGGGTTTAGGGGTTTACTGGGGTTTAGGCTTTATGTAGGTTTTAGTGCTTTTGGCCCGGCAGAGGCTTGCAATGATTATGGGCTTTTGTTTGGGAGGTTAGCCTTTTGTCCAGACCCGGCTTGTCAGGGGGGTCAGCGGCCTGAGGAGTCTAGGCTTTGTCCGGCTTTACGGCCGTTGGTTGTCGCGCGAGGGGCTCAGTCCGAATTTAACGTCTCTGGCGTTTGGGGTAGATAGTTGGAGCTCTACAACCCTACGGCCTAGGCCATTACCTCTACAAGCAGTTCGAAAGACAGACTTGCCACAGTGCAAGCCAAGAACTGCAGGCCTCAGAGCACTCTCATCCGTGTTGAAAGTCCCATGGAAGAATCTTCAGTATCTATAACAAGGCTTCTTTCGTAATGCTGGAGTGACTTGAGTGCAATTCTAGGGTTGGATGTTTGTCAGGCTATCGGACGAATGCTACTGCTAGCATTGGAACCTTTTGTCTCCATTTTACCGATGACTGCAGGCCGGAGTTGGAGAGATTCCAGGTTAAATGAGTGTTAAAAAGAAAGATCGGGGTGTAAGTGTACACTGCAAAAGAGGAGAAGGCACGAGCTCAGGACTCAGAACAGGTCTCAAGAGCCAGGAGGGAGTCAGACACGCCAGAATTAGCAACACTATGGCAACCAGAAGAATCCACAGTCTTTGTCAGGTGTTTGCGGTGGGGTTTGGAGGGATTGGTTTGAGCCTACTGGGTGTAGGCTAGAGATACACATTCGGTTGATCTTAGTACGCAGGAGGCCCTCCTTGAACCTGCAGGCTGTAGCATTGCTACAGCCCTCTCACCTAAGCCTGTGCCATTTGGGAGCTTCCGAAAATGAGGGATACCTTATTTGGGGTCCTTGTAATACGGATCCTACTATCAGGGTACTATATTAGGATCCCTATTTTCGCAAACTCCCATTTGGGCTTGAAGGTTCCACGAACCCTTCAAGGAGCTGCAAACGGCCACAGGACTGATCTCAACCTGGATCGCGGCCATGCTGCCGCTCGGACGCGTATAATTATGTCTCTTCCTGACAAGCATGTGCTACAGTCAAAGCATAAATTCATCTGGCGAGCGAACTCTGGTAAACATATACACCTGGTATTTCGATTCTCGTGGTAGAAAGCCTCATGTAAAGCACTTCCCTATAGGCCCTGGGCCTTGGCCGCCACCATACCCTAAGACGTTTTGAGAACCCGAAGCTGTAGAGCCGCGAGAACCATGGAGTCGCTTCTTTGTGTGTCGCATGCCGCGGGATTACAGAGCCTGAGGGCGGGAGGACTCCAGAGCACCTCTTATCTAAGGAATATACCGGGAATCATATTAGGGATCCGTTTATAATTTAAGGTATGTTCCTTAATTAAGGGGTTTTGGAGGTTCTGGGTCTATCATGAAGAAAACCAGTGTTCCTTGGGGTTTTGGGTTTGGTGTTTCTCTGCTTTGGGCATTCAGTGTTGTTGGTTCTGTCAGGGCAGCCTTTGCTTGCAGGCGCCCGGCTGTGGTGTTAGGGTATTGCTTTCTGAACATACTGAGTACGGCTTCAAGGTTTTCGAGGCCAGTGTGTAGGAATCACTTCGAAAGGTATCCAAAGCCCCCACCACCGTAAACTCTGAGCCCCTGCCTGCCTCCAACGAACCCGCAGGCCAGAGTTGCAAGTTGCAACCGCTCGGGCTCTAGACCTCCACCACACGGGTGGTTGTCAAAATCATGGTCCCTTTTTGGGTCCCTATTATAGTACGGCACCTATCATTTCAGAAAGGTTCGACAGTGAATGTTGCTACAAAACGTGCGAAAGCACTGTAAACATGGGGGGCCCCAGGGCGTCCCACCCTCTATCATGTAGGGTACTCCCAAAAGGGACCATCATTTTGATAACTACCCATATTATAGTACCCTTATAGTATCCCTTATAGTAACCCTTATAGACCCCTTTAAAGGGACCATAATTTTGATAACCACCCCTGACACGAGCCCGAAGGCGCTTGCAGTTTCGGTGTTCAGGTTTGGCTTAGTTCAGGCTTCAGGTTTAGTTCCCAAAGGGTGCAAGCCACGGTTTAGGGTTTAGGGTTTAGGGTTCCGAAAGGGTGCAAGTATCATTATGGTATATATTAGAAGCTGCCCCCACCCTGTAATAGTGACTATAAGGATTATAGTAGGGCCCTATTATTGTCCTATTATACCACTATTACAGGGTGGGGGCACCTTCTATGGTATATACTTAGACCACCAAAATACCCTATAAGTATACACCAGAATGATACTTGGACCCTTTGGGTTTGGGATCTGGGAGGTCAGGTGTTCTCTAGGGTCTAGGGACAGCAAAAGCCTGGCGCTTCCCATAGTTTCAGATTTACGACACCTCTCCGTTCCCGCAAGAAGTAGGAAACAAAAGGTACCCTTGTCACTACTCAGGAACCGAGCCTCCGGTCTTTGGGGTTCCTCTCGTGGGATCTATACATGGTCCTTTAAAGGGATCCAAACTGTTTTTTCTTCGTTCCGAGGTTTACTTCCAGTGAGCATCTCTTCTCCTCAACGACAGCCAAGATGCTCGGCGACCGAAGACATCTTTGGGGTTCCTTTAAGGGATCTACAGGATTCCTTTAAGTAGTGGGCTCTCACAGCATTGTTTTATGATGCTCTGCTATGATTCTGTAGTTGCCGTACGCTGCTTGCCAGAGAGCAAGCACCGCTTGCCTCTTTCATCTTGGGACTTTTTTATTCCGTGGTAGAATCGGCGTCAGATCTTTTAGCTCTTCTTGCACCTTGCCTGAAAGCATTGTTTTGTGATGCTGAGTCAAACGTGCTGCTGATAACATGCTGTAGTGGCCTTTCAAATAAGCATTGTTTTATGATGCCGTGCTATGATTTTGTAGCTGCCGTACGATGCTTGCCAGAGAGCAAGCACCGTGCCTCAAAGCATTGTTTTGCGATGCTCTGCTATGATTTTGCGGTTGCAGTACGCTGCTTGCCAAGCAAGTGCGTGCTGGTCGGCTTTGTTGCAAAGGCGTCGGAAAACCCTAACATGTCACGCAGTTTGTATACGCAACAGCCACTATCCGGCAGCTGTGACTCGCAGACTCTCTGCATTTTACATATTGCCACAGTTTTCCTTTCAGAACCTCTAGGGATCTGAGAAGGGTTTAGGGGTTCTTTTAAAGGGTCCTGTAAGGGTTCCTTTAAGTACCGAGCTCCAGGCTCCAAGGCCCCAAAAACCCAGGAAAAAACCGTCAGTCTCAAAACATTCCTAAACCCCAAAGCGTATACACCCCAAACCCTAAGCCCCCAAACCCTCAGCCCTTAATTCCAGCCATCAGCACCACTGGCAAGAAGAGCAGGGAAGACGGAGAGCACGAACTCCACCAAAGCCCGAAAAGGTCTGGACCTTGGGCCCCAAAGCTCGGGCCGAGAAGCCCAAAACCCCCACAAGCACCAAACCCCCAAAGTCAAAAGCCGTAGCCCCGAAAGCCCCATAACGGGCAGCTGTATGTGGGTGTAAAGGGGGGAATCCCCAGAGGTTGCTATTTACGGGTTTAGGATCCTAAACCTAAACCCGAATATCCAAACCCTCTAAGGCAGGTACTCGTAGGTTCCTTGCTCCAAGAAGGTCATCAACACTTTTCAACAGTCCTTAACGGCAACATTCACGAACCGCTCCCTACGAGCTTTGCTTTTGGGGATCAGGCCTAGAGGCTGCTAAGCCGAGCAGAAATTGAAAAGAGTCACCCGATAAGCCATCCCTATAGGTCCTCTTCGAGCAAGGACCCGTAAGCTAGGCACCCTCAACCCAGAAACATATGACGATCATAATGCCATAACCTTAGTCATACTCATGCCAACAGTAAGAAGGAGTATGACTATCGTTATGAATATTCCGGGTTTTCCTTATGTAAATCTTGGTGGAGCATTCGGCTTGGCCGAGGATCGGCTTCGCAGTTCCCATGTACTGGGTCATGGACGCACCTCGTCTTGAGAGCCCTTCCGGCGATTTGAGGATGGAGGGCTTCCGGCCAGATAGGGGGTGATGGGGTGCAGGCATGTTCGGACTGTTTTTGGGCTCTTTTTGGGGCTTATAGGATTGAGATCTTTCGGATTTCGGCTTTGAACTTTAGACGTCTGGAGTTTAGAGGCAGCGATGGGGACGAAGTAGCAGGTTTCTTACTTGCTACGAAGATGATCCAGATTGCCGATGCAACAAGCTCTTCCGCCATGACGTGATAATGATGGTGGTGATGTTGATGATCACTAGGTTCATCGCCGTCATCATCATATTCGTTATCGGCACCATCATCATCAGCAGCATGTCAGTACTGCCCATGGGCTTATGGGCAGTATCATGAATTGGTGTGAGCGCCAAGCCACTAAACACCAGCTATTTGAGACTGACTGGCCAGCATGCATATTCCTGCAGCAAGTCTCGACTAGGATGGTTTGTGTAGTTGTAGGGCATGTGCAGTTCCCACTTCAGTGTTTGGGGCTTCATGCTTCTAGAGTACTTAGAAGCGTAGAACATCAACACTCAATGGTCTTCCGCCGCAGCAAGGTGACCATGAACGTTCTTCAGACCCCTCACCGTGCTCTTGTCTCCGACCTGGCCACAGAGGAGCAGCAAGTGCCGATGCAGGCCGAGCTGCAGCTCCCATTCTGGGGGCCTTAACAATTATATATATATATACACACATGTATATTTGTTTTTTGGGGGTCCTGATTATAATTACAGTACAATGGGCCCAAAAACCCTATTCCAAGTATTACGGCCCCTGCATCATCCAGTTCGACTGCGGTGTCGAATTTCGAGTTGGTAGAAACCGCAACCTGTGCATCTTCACAGTTCAGCTATTTGCAGGGAGTGACTGAAGGCTTCAGAGTTGACTGGCTTAGAGTTTAGGCTTATAATACTATATTATAGAGTTTACGGCTGAAAGCGGATCGGCAGGTGGTGTTCGTCGTGATTATGTCGATTGGGAACTTTCTCGGCTACTCCATCATGCAGTCACCTGATTGACTTCATGTGTTGAGATCTGTCGAGGTGCATCTTGTGATTTCGACATGCGGGGATGTCTACCCCAAGCTGGTCATAGCCTGATTACCGCCTCTCTATATTGTGCGATTGTCGCAAGCATCTTTGCTCCCTATGTCTACCATCACGGCCGTGGCTACCATGGGGTAGCTATCGCTGCAGACATCACCTCATGACGGGAGGGCTTGTTTAGTGACGTAATATAGGGGTTGAGATAATTGCCAAAACTATTCGGGGCTCTTAAGCTAAACTAATTCTAGTAAAATGTCTCCCAAAACCCTACTGGAATTATTAAGGTCCCTTATATCACAGCGATCCGAAAGACTCAACATCTCGGAGCCTGGAAGTTTGGGATGAGCTTTTCCCGGCCTACCTAGGTCCGGAGCTTTGTTGCTGCACCTGTTTGCTGGATAACCTATGTGCAGGGTGAGGGTGCTATGACAAGAGAATACGGTAACCAACGAAGGCACGACATTTCTAGATCTGTAAATGCAAAGGAGGTAGTTGACGCTAGTAAAGTTCTCCGCCCAGGCATGTGCGCAATAGCTTTTTCCAAGCCATGCACTCGTGCCAGTTACACCTGAAGTCTTGCTCTGCCCGAAAGCCACAGAACTGCATCGATGCCAGCTCCATGCATGTCCCCAACCTTCCAAAGCACCCAATAATCAGGTACATGGGTCAGACATGGGTTTAGGATAGTAGTTATGTAGGTTAGGATTTGGGAGAGTATCTGATTATTTGGTACTTGGACCCTTGGGGTGTCTGCCCAGTGTTGGCAGCCTCCCCGAACGACATAATCAGAATGGACCCGAAAGCCCTGGAGACGAATCATGCGGCCAAGTCCCTGAATATCCAAACTCTGAAAAAATGGGATCGATGAGGATTTTGGGGCTACCGAAGAGATTTACCTCTTAGTCATGTCCACCCATACTTGTGCTATTACTTGTTGTATGCTGAGAATTTCGCGCACTGTTCCGCGTTTGGTGCCATTCCTTCGGCAGATGACCCTAAGGCTCCATGTGCCTCTTAGGCTTTCGAGTGTTTCTATAAGTACTCTAAGGCCGACGTGTGTACTACACAGGCGCGTGAAGCCTTAGGGAAAAGCTGCTCCGCAACTGAGGATCTACGACGTCCCCGTGGAGCACATGTTCACGCTCGTGCTGCCCCCCGGCTGTGGTTGGTCAATGTCGGTTGGTTTAGAGTTTTAGTTTAGGTTTTGGGGTATTGGTCCTACAAACCGACAAACCCATATGATCCTAGACCCTAGACCCCTCGATGGCCTGGGAAGCTACGCTGATCTCAAGCAGCCGAGGATGATTTGCGGCTTGAACACGCTGTGCATTGCCATCCAGTTCAGTGTGGCCAAGGAGGCATGCCCGGGAGAGAGTCCTGCACAGGGTTCTCGTTTACTTTAGCGCCACCCATACCCAATGTATCTAGGTAGGGAGCACTTTAACGCCAAAGTATTTATTTGGGTACATGGACCCTTAGAGAATATTCTCGAATGTTTTGCGTAGAGGTTCGTCATGCGCCTGTATCCGTTCAGGTAAGCCTCCTCTTAAGTTCTACATTAAATTTAAAAGTTTGTCAGGAGGCACAGGAAGTCTTGCGGAAGCGTGGTCGACAAAAGCGTAGACCTGCATCCATTCCCGTAAACCCTATTAACCCTAAACCCTAAACCCGACCTTAAACGCACACTCGACAGTTGCAACGAAACGAGATCAGCACTTGAACAAGCAAATTCGGTTGTTCTGCTCGTCTGTCTCTCATTCATCGACCTGGCTAGTTTGTCTGTGAACACAACCATGGATCGACAAATCAGTGGGGTCTCGCCCTGGGGGGGTGGGTAGCGATTGCGAGGTAACGGCTGCCAGCATCACGCTGCATCACTAAGAGAGAGTGAACCCCTTTACGCTGGCCCTTGAGGGGAGCCGAGCTCCCAAACTTAAGCCATGAAAAGCATACCTACTCCTAAACCTCGCAATATGTCTCATGTCGTTCAGCACGAGGTGCCTCTGAAGAAGGTGGAGGGCGAGAAGGGAGGCTGCTGTGCTCCAGCTTCACAGCTGCACTGGCTTTTAATGCTTGCAATGGTAACCTACAAGGTCGCAACACACAACTTCTGGCATCGCGGACGTCCATATTAAAGTATCAAGTAACTTCTGTTGCTTCGTGGGCTTCATACAAGTACTGTAGCAGTAGGCGTGATGAACTGTCATTACACTGCTGAGGGTGATCGCAAGAACGGGCGCTTTCCCGATCATCTAAGCTACTCGGCTATCACTGACCATCCCAGCATGTCAGGCCCCACACATGCACTCAACTGCACCCAGTCCTTCGTGAACGGCCCTGCGCCCCCATCTTTCAAGTAATTTTAGGTAAGCCTAAGCCCTACGGTCGTCCTTGTAGGAACTTTCATCGGAATCCTTCCAGTAACCTTTGCAGGAAGGAATCTTTCTAGTAACCCTTAGAAGGGGCCTTCCGAGGTCAAACCAGGGCTCCACCATCACAAGCTTTAACGGGCAGATCGGCAGGTCCTATATCCGAAAACCTAAGCCAAACCCGAAACATCCCTTAATATCCTACACGCTATTGTTGCTTAGTATAGACCCCTATCATGGCAAGTTTAACGAGTCGGTCTAAGGCCCAAACCCGAACCCTAAACCGCAAAACCGAACCCTGAGACCTAAACGAATCTGTGCCTTGTAGTGGGTTTAGGCGTTAGGGTGATTTAATCCCTGAACACTAAGCCTCTTGCAGGTCTTGAACATCCTGTCGTCAATCCGAGGCCTGTACCGGGATGTGAAATTTGGCTCACCTGGACCGGGTTTGGATTCGGAAATGTTGGTAAGTGTATAGGGCTTTGGGGGTTCGCGGTATAGGGATAGGTTTCCTTTTATAGAATATTGGTGAGTGTACATTATGGCGTGTGCAATGCAGATACTCTTGATATTTGTAGCCCTATCGTCAGATGTGCTACATCAAATGTGCTGGGGATGCAAAGCTTGCCACAGAGCTTTCTATGAGACAGATGATGCCAGAAACACTGGAACCCTAAATCCCTGGGTTAGATCTAAGCTTTGTGACGTGATACACCCGAAAATCTGACAGGTTACTCTTTCCCTGGACAGCCCTGAATTGTGACCCCTACGCTTCTATGGGATCCTAAAACCCTGCACCCTAAAATTGAAGCTCTAAACCTGTTAACCGTAAACCCGACAAGGCATGCCCTCTTTGCTCTACCACTTGGCCTTTGTTCAGTGCCTCGTGTGGAGCCATGGCAAGCAAGGAAAGCCATACGCCTGATGGTTCAATGCGGGGCCTTAATTAACTAGGATCGTGGGTTTGGGTATATTATTAATTGTATCTACTTAGAAGCTGCCAAGGCGTATTTTCTGAATCTATCAGGGTTTAGGCTTCAGAGTTTGTGGCAGAACCCGGGTTTCCTCCTATTTCCGGCTACTGCCGGCAAGGATCGGAAACACAGCCTGGCAGTACTACTCCGAGCAGTGGTTCGCGATCTCTGTCTACCAAGGCTCGACTGGAGGAGCTTAGGGGTTCAGGGCTTCGGTAGGGTTTAGGGGTTTAGGGTTGTAAGGTTAAAGTGTTTAGGGTTCAGGGTTTAGGGTTTAGGGTTATAAGGTTAAATTGGTTAGGGATTCAGGGTTTAGGGTTATAAGGTTAAAGTGTTTAGGGGTTCAGGGTTTAGGGTGATAAGGTTAAAGTGTTTAGTTTAGGGGTTCAGGGGTTCACGGTTTAGGGTTACAAGGTCAAAGTGTGTAGGGGTTTGGGTTTGGGGGTTCAGGGTTTAGGGTTTAGGGGTTTACTGTTTAGGGTTCAGGGTTCAGGAACTCAGAGGCAAACCCAACTGGACCCGAGACGACCCTTCGTTTGTATAAGGGTAGAGCTGGGGTTCGGATTACAGTTCGGGGTACTTGGAGGATCATGGGACTTAGTAACTGAGGTTATAAGTAGTTATATGTAGTGATAAGTATATATACTGTAGTTATAACCCTCGTTACTAAGTCCTATGATCCGCCAAGTAGGGGGCTTTGGGGCTCAAGGTAAACGGTGTCCGAAGCTGCAACCAGAGTTTCGCTCCCCAAGCACGGTTGAATCATATTTCGCGGCATTCTAGCTTTCCGTCTGTTGATGTGTCAATGCCGACTTTGAGAATACCGGTGCAGGATGTCCGGATACCCCAGGCTTCAGTTGATGATTCTTCCATGGCCGTGCGTCCATCAGTCTTAGTCTTGCCACTGCCTGAGTTGCAAGAGCTACTCGTATGTGCAGATATGACTCTTGGGGACAATGGAAGCACGTAGAGCCACAGCTACGTTCTGGAAGCTGCATGATCGAAACCGTCATTGCAGGATGGATTGGGAATCCCCATCGTGACAGTTTGAGTCCTGAATCCTCTCCAAGCCCTGAAGACTCACGTTCTCCAAAAAGTATACCCCAAGCTTCGGAAGCCCAAACCCGAAACCTTAAGCCGCCTACACTCTATAAACATTTTGCAGCCCCAAACACAATATGCGGCAGCCTTTTCATCCCGAGGTTCACAAAAACGCGTGCAACCCAACCACACGTCCTGAGCTAACGACTCCCGCGCCTGACACTGTCTCCCTGCCTTGACTCAGATAGCGAATGGGAGAGCGTTGAACTTTTCTGGCCTTATATATTAGCTCTATCTTAGAGAGTTTGAGCTTTTTGGGGCCCGGTTGCTGAAGAAAAGTGTTGAAGCCCTGAGCCTTGAGGTTCAAACTTTGACAACCACATTTGACGCCACGAGCGTTTCGGTCTCCTCCTGCGCTCTTTGCACGCCGCATCGAAGCAACCAACAAACCAAGCTGCTGCAACCAAACCCTACTCTTGAACTTCTACAATGTCCCTATAAACCTTAAAACCCTAAACCCTTCGGCCTAAACGCTTCAACCTTACACCATAGACCATAAACCCAAACACCCAGACTTCCCCAAACGGGCAGATATCCCCCCCCCCCCCCCCCCCCCCCCCCCCTCCCGCCCCCCTCTGCAGGGGATCAGCACGCACCTGCTGGATCCGAAGCGAAGCTGAACTACGGACGAGGCCTGCTAGGGATCGTTCATCATAGGGCCAGTTAGAATTCATGGCTCAGGGTGTGGACCCTAGAGTCAAGTAGAGTTTTAGGGGTTGGCGTCGCGTGTGCCAGCATGTACACGAGATCCCTATCTGCATGGTTGCTGCATGGCTTAGCGCGATGAGGCTTAGGCTTAGGCCTGGGGGCCCTAACCCTATCCCCACTAAACCCAAAACCCAAATTCGAAACCCTCAATCCCAAATCCGCAACCCTCACCCTCAACCTTAAACCCAACCCTAAACCCTAAACCCTAAACCCTCAACCTAAAACCCAACCCTAAACCCGAAACCCTAAACCCTAAACCCTCAACCCTCACCCTCAACCTTAAACCCAACCCTAAACCCTAAACCCTCAACCTAAAACCCAACCCTAAACCCTAAACCCTCAACCTAAAACCCAACCCTAAACCCTAAACCCTAAACCCTCAACCTAAAACCCAACCCTAAACCCTAAACCCTCAACCTTAAACCCTAAACCCTAAACCCTCAACCCTCAACCTAAAACCCAACCCTAAACCCTAGACTCACCCCTTAGGGCCCCCAGAGGCTGCAGGTTTGCATGTACCTGAAGGGCTTATACGGGTTTCTTGAAGCGGTCTCTTCATTGGGGCTCTTGAAAGGGTTCCTATTACAGGTCTCTTGAGGGGGGCTCTTTAAAGGGTTCCTATTACAGGCTTTGTTCTTTAAGTTAACGACCTTATAGATGTTGTGTTGTTCGTTGGGTTCGTCTGGATTCCGGGAAGCGATGTGCACGATTCAGCTTGTTCTAGGTGTTTTATGGCGTATTATGGTGCGTGTTTTTGAAGGGTCTTATCGATGCCTGCATTTGATATGTTCATGCCTTAGAAGCTGCCCCCACCCTATAATAGTGACTATAAGGATTATATTAGGGCTCTATTATATTCCTATTATACCACTATTACAGGGTGGGGGCCCCTTCTAACTTATGCCTTACAGGGCTCCTACTTGTACGCAGCAACTGGGGACCGAAGTCTATTTCACCCAAAGGCTCCATGTACCCATATAGTAGGTACTTAGGCCTGAAAGCCTGAAAGTAGCCATATAGGGACCGCTTTAAGGCCTAAGTACCTACTATATGGGTACATGGAGCCTTAGGGTCATGTTTATCTATATCAGTGCACGGGGACAAGACTATGATTATGTCAGCATCTTTTGTCTGAGAGGCCTCTGAACTCTAGCACTGCAGCAGGTCGTTCGGGTGCCAAATCTAGGGCACCAGAAACAACATGCCCTCAGCAGCTATACCAGTTAAGGCCACCAACACTTCGGGGGTTTAGGCTTTAGGGCCGTTTAGGTCTTTGTGTTTGGTTCAGGGTCCAAAGCACCTAGTCAACCCTAGCTGTAGTCTCCATTGTAGTTCCTTTTGGATCCTTAGGGAAGTACACTGGAGACGATAGGTATACTTCAGGTTACCTTGTGGGATCCTAAACCTAGAAGTGTTGAAACCCCAAAAAGAACTACACTGGAGACTAGAGGTATAGGCCTACAAGTTCCCTAAACCCTAACCCCTAAAGCCTATAGAAGCGACGCAGGCGTCCAGGCCTTCTCCGAGGGAGGGCAGATGCGCTCCGGCTTTCAGCTGCTGGCCGCGTTGGGGTGCCTCGCCTTTGAACGCCCAAGCATGGATAAGGTTCCTTTAGCGGTTCATCCTTTAAGGGGTTCCTTAAAGGGTTCCTATAAGGGATCTATGGGGTTTAGGGTTTAGGGAGTTTCCGAAAATTAGGGGTTCCTGATTTTGGGGTCCTTATGATAAGGATCCTACTATCTATAGGGTACTATATAAGGGCCCCCCCATTATCGGAAACTCCCATAAGGGTTTGTGGGAATAGTTTGGGCCATAAAGGGAGGGGCCATGTAGTGCTTTGTAGGATTCCTTTGGGCCTCTAAGGAGGGGCCTTCATGCTTCGAACAGGGCTTTGGGGCGAATGCCGGAAGACGAAGAGCCGTAGACGAAGGTTGACATGCATCCTTTAATCATGAGCGGGGACCGCAAGGGAAATCACTGCTTGCCCTAAACCCTGAACCCAAACCCTGAACTACAGCAAGAGGGTCCAGGCGAGGAGGGCTCCGCCCTATGATTAATAAAGACGCCTAAATAATTACCAATATTTTGGTTAGGGTTCCTTATTATAGTTATAGTATCATGCCCCGAAACCCTATTCTAATTATTAAGGCCCCTATATTAATCACGGCAGTCTGATCGCCGCTGGCAACATCTTACAAAGGGCTGTGAGGGTTCCATGGATCGAGGATCCAGATTAATTAATCAGTTCCGACCCTTAACTCTTCCAGCCAATACCACAAGCCCCTCCGCCTACTTATTCAAGTAATTAATTCCCTACCTGCCTGCCTACCTGCCTGCCGTCATGGTTGTAGGTGTTGTGGCTGCGGCTGCTGCTGCGGCTGCTGCTGCTGCTGCTGCTGCTGCTGCTGCTGCTGCTGGCTGCTGCTGCCGCTGCTGCTGCTGCTGCTGCTGCTGCTGCTGGTGTCGTTGTTGTTGGTGGTGGCGGTGGCAGTACTCCTGCAGGTCATGATCGGATGTTCATCCCCCCTTCCGTCCCTCCCTCCCTCGCTCACTGTCTCTCCCTCTCCTTCTCTTTCTCTTTAGCTTTCTCTTTTTCTTTTTTTTTTTTTTCTCTCTCTCTCTCTCTCGTGTCTCGTGGCACGATTAGTGTTTGCTGTGTCGCTGAGGCACTGCTGTTGGTGACGGAAATATATGGCTTATTGTGACTCTCGTTGTTGTTGTCCCCGTCCCTGTTTCTATCATATGTATTGAGGAGAAGAGTTCTGCTAATTGGTGTCACTATCGTTCTTCTTGTCTTTGTTGTTGCTGCTGCTTCTGCTGGTAGAGCTAACCAACATCAACGCCCTTTTTGAATTCCCGGCTGTTTGACAGTACATCTGCAATAAGGATCATCGCGCTGCTGCTCGGTACACGACTGCGCCCGCGCTTGATGTACGCTCCGTGCCCTTTGGACGTCTTTCAGATAAAGCTCGAAAATCTCGGGTTGAGGATCGTGGTGTTTTACGCTTCAGGTTTTTTAGGCATGGCTTACGGCGCTGACAGGGCGGAGGCTTCAGAGGGATTTGGTGCTGCCTGAGTTTCTTGTTGTTTTGCAGGATCCGTTCTTGCGTGGAATGTGTTTATCAAAGCTTTCTGCAGGTGCCTGATGATCCGCATTGCCATAGCTTTCTCATCGGGTGTGATGACCCTCATTGCCACTCCTTGTTTTGTTCAAGTTCGAAGTTTGACCGGGCTTTCCCAAACAGGCATTTATGTCGGCGCGGTGGTTAGCTTCCTCGCTGGCTACGTCGTGGGCCACAATGTCACTTTCGCCTCCCGGACTCATTCAGCAGGTGTAGCTTAGAGGCCCTAAACCCCGAACCTCAAACCCTGAAGTCCACTCTGGCAAGCATAAGAAGGGTGAGTCAGCCCAGTTAACAAAAAAAGCTCCGAAGGCTTTAGGTAGCTGGATTTCAGACTGAGGGTTAGGGGAAAGTGCTTCTGACGTTCGATCTCACAGGGCAGGTCCACGGCCTTGCCCCCAGATCAGCAGAGGGGACCGGAATGCGGAAGCTTGAAAAAGAATAATCCTATTCAATGGAACTACGTACATTCTACACAGGGCTGATGAAGCCCCTGTAGTAACAATAAGCTCCAGTTCAGCGCCTTCGGGCTGATTCTTTCTGCGGTGGGTTTCAGGTTTCAGTGTTTAGGGTTTAGGGGTGGGTTTGGGGTGAAGGGTTTTTTCTGTTTAGGCGGGTGGGTTTTCTGGGAGGTTGAATTGAAGGCGTCGCTAGCTTTCTACATGGGTGGTTCTCTAAGTTATGGTCCCTGTTTAGGTCACCCCAAAAGCACCACACCACGCCGATCCTGAAGTGCTCTAGACTCACATAGACACACCCTAGTACCTGGCCACATAGGGTTTGTGAGAAAATGAGGGATGCTTAGTAATATAGGCCCAGACTTGCAATATCAAGAACCCAGATCACAAACAAAGAGCAAGGCAACCAAGGAAAACAAGGAACTAGCTTTGGGTGGGCTAGGTTCCGAGAGTCTATCCAGTAAGGAAACCGTGCCTCTGATGCCCTATGACCGGAGGGCATGACCTGGCCTCAGCCAAACCCGCAGCCCCCCTTAAACCCAAATCCTCAATCAAATCAGCCCAATATCCCGAGCCCTTGCAGTATCAACGTACCGACTCAATCGCTGGGCCCTCGACCCACATCAAAAGTCATGTGGACATCGAAGGAAGGACCCTTTCATACCCCATATAGAGCCTCCGTAAAAAGCCCATGTAGATGGCTAATAGGTAGATTACCCAAAGGCTCCATGTACCCATATAGTAGGTACTTAGGCCTGAAAGTAGCCATATAGGGACTCCTTTAAGGTCTAAGTACCCACTATATGGGTACATGGATCCTTTGGGTGAGCCCAGAAAAGGCCATCCTGGTTTTCGTGACTTCGATCATGCCAGAGACCGGCTCCTTTGCGATCCCCTTCGGGCCCCTCGGCCTTTGCTGTTGGACAAACCCCTGAACCGTAAACCCTGAAGCTAGCTGGACATGTTCAGTTGAGGTTTAGGGGCCTCGGGTTTAGATACGGCTTCGGCTTTGGATATTGGATCTAAACCCTAAACCCTTTATAGAACCCTGAGAGATCCCTTTAAGGAACCCTCTAAGGGTCCCTTTAAAGGTACCCAGGCAGTGCTTTTTTTGAAGCGGCTCAAGAAAGAGACACAGCAGGTTAATTCTTTGCCGAACTCTGCGGATTGGCCGAGGTTAGGCTTCGACTTGATGATTCGGGTTCGGGGTAATGGGCGAGTCAGATCTCAGACGTTAAACCCCCTGACTTCAAGTGTGGTAATCTAGGGGTCTTGACAAGTACCGGTACTATTTTGGGGGCTCCGCATTATAGGTACGGTATACTATGCCCCGGAACCCTATTCTAGTTAGTATGGCGCCTATTGAAGCCCGTCTCTTTGGTCTGAGCTTCTCCTGGCTTGGAGAAGCTGCCCACGGGTTCCGTGTCTACCCCTTGCATCGCAGCTGAATGCCGTCACTAAGCCCGGCAAGCGCCCCAAGGTCGAGGGCGCTGGCTTGATAACCCTTGGGTTTGAGATAACCTCAGAGTAAGCCCAAAATTTGAACCTTCAGCCCTTTGAGTGCAGATCCTGGGGTCTTGATCGTTTTGGCCGTTTCAGCCGCCAAGAAAGGCTAACTCTGAAGCATTCTGAAGCCTTAATTTCAGGAACCACAAGCACTGCTAGTCAGAGCTTCGGATGTTGGAGGGCGATTAGGGTTACGGATATCTACAGATGGGTTTTTGATCAGGGCTTGTCGTTGAAAGCCTCGCATATCTCAATACGAACCCTGAGCCGCGCAACTTATGTATTCGGAGACTGAGAGCTTGGAACTTGGGTTGTAAGTATTCCAACTTGGGTAAACCAAACTGTCCTGCTTGATATGGCTTCTGACCCTTCAGGCAACCTGTGAGGGACTCAAACCACCTTTTTACCCCCCAAACCCGATGCCGACAACCACCATTAAGGCTGGTGGCGACGCTGAACAAGCGTGCAGAGCAGGAGGGTAAGCAAGCACCTCGACTTCAGGAGTGGTGTTGACGTAAGCCGCAGTCGGTGTTATGGTGAATGGCGGCCTAATGTAGGGAGTTGGTGGTTTGGGGCTTCTGGTATTCGCGGTGGTCTGTGGCCTGCAGGAGAGCTTGATGAAGTAGGGAGACGTGGTTTCAATATACAGGGATCACACAGCGGCGCACCCCGTTGGACGCAGGTCTTTAGCAACGGAGAGTGGGGGGGGTCAGGACGATTGGCGGCTTGTGGTTAAAGGGAATCTATCTGATTGGGTGTTTAAGGTTAGGGCTTGAAAGTGCTGTACACCCCCCCCCGTCTCCCTGCGCCTCGTTTGGGGTTGAAGTTTTTTAGTTTGGTTTAAAGTGCACGACAAACTTCCTAAAGCCTAAACTCCTAAACCCTAAAGCTTTTTCCGTTTGGCAAGGTGAGTACGGCCTTGCAGATGGCCTTGTTGAACTGCTGCGTGACCGTTGGCCAGCAGGTTTGCCACATGGTAGCCTCGGCTGCACTATGTGCCTTCGGTTTAGGGTGCCCTAAACCCTCAACCCTAATCGGGGTTTCGGGTGGCCCTGGACATCTCTGGACGCTAGATCGCTTCTCTAAACCCACAGTCTGTAAAGTAGAAGTAGATGCTAGAAGTTTGCGACAGCCTCATCCTCGTGCCCTAAAGGCAAAGGAACAGGAATCCCAGTACGAATCGCCGTAAGCCCATGTTCCAACTATCCGGGCTTTACCAAAAGAGGGTTGCGATATTTCTGAATCCGCTCCGTCTGCTTGTGTGCTTGAGAAAGAGGAGTTTAGGCAAACCAGAGTACCTTACTGGGGGTCCTTAGAATAGCGAGCATATGTTTAGGCGTCAGCTGACTCCGGAAGACTTCCAATTCTTGCCCATGGGATCTATGGCGGTGCTGCAGGGACGGTCGTTTTTCTTCCTCGCGCTCGAACTTGTTCGTACTAGTTACTCCTGTTGCTACCAACGATTGGGAACTTCGCCTTTCGAGGTGCTGGCCATTATCGAGCAGCACTTGCCTTTGACGGCAGCCCTTCCTTGTGTTTTCCTGTTCGCGGGTGTGGCAGCTCGGCGTAAGATGCTTCTAACATAGGCTGATTCATACAGGGCAAACGTTTAGTGTCTGGGTTTTCGATGCGAGGGCAGTGGCGAGGCCTGTGTGGAATGCTGGCCATGTTTTGTGCTTCTGAGCTTGTGAGTGAATGTTGGAGCCCCTGGTGTGCGAGAAGGCGCCGCAAATAAGGATTTCATAAGTCGCGATGCTACTAGCTACTGCAATTCGTCAATCCACTCTGCAGGATCGGATCATGAGAACTGTGGGCGTCCGCTCTTCTGAAGGTGGGTTCATGATCGTTTTGAGGGACTATACTCGCCTGCAGCAAGAGATTCCTCCACACTTAAACGACGCACAGTGGCCCACATACCCCCTAAGCCTAGAGGCTGAAGCCGCAAAACTTAAACCCCAAGCCTATACCCCTAAACCCCACATCACTAAACCCTCAGCTCAAACCCATGCATGCATAATGTAGGAACCTGATGAAGAAACCCTGGTACAATAACCCCCAAAATACTAGGACTCAATGAAGCGAACCCCAAGAAAGGCCCAAGGTTTCTTAACCAGGTTCCCACATTACCCTTCTTAGGGCTCCGAATCATGCTGTCCATTAGAAGGGGCCCCCACCCTGTAATAGTGGTAGAATAGGAATATAATGGGGCCCTAAAATAATCCTTATAGTCACTCTTACAGGGTGGGGGCAGCTTCTACTTGGAGGGTCGGGGGACTTAGTAAGTAGGTAGTAAGTAGACTTATACAAGTACCGCCCGAATTGGGGTTATGGTACTTATAAGTCCCTAAAATAACCAGTTACTAAGTCCCCCGACCCTCCAAGTAAGATGTTCATCTTTTTTAGGGCTCCTTGTTAGTCGCCTGAACGCCTTTAAAGCGCCTCCTATCATTGGCCTAAAACCCTAAGCCCTAAACCCTAAACCCCAAGAATCTTAAACCCCCCTTTTGGCCGCCCTTCAGCCTTTAAAGCCGAGGGTTTAGGGTTCCTTTAAAAGGGAGCTAGGTTAGGGTATAGGGTTTCTGGCCTGCACGCCTTGAAAGCCGAGGCGTACACCCTCGGTGGGTCTTCGGCCCTCTGCTTGGACGACAAGCCGCCGAGTGAGGCCTCAGCCCGATATGGGGTGGTTTCCGAAAGTCAGGCGGGGTACCTTTAAAAGGGATCCTTTAAGGGGTTCCTATAAGGGTTCCTACAAGGGTTCTATAAAGGGTTTAGGGTTTAGGGTTTCCGAAAATAGGGGGCCCCTTATTTTGGGGGTCCTTCTAGTAAAGATCCTACTATTTAGGGTATTATATTAGGGTCCCCTATTTTCGGAAACTCTCATATCTCTACTCCGGAAGCCCGTAACATAGTGCCTTAATAAGTGCCTATACTATTTTGGGGGTTCCTTTTAAAGGCTTCCTTAAAGGGGTCTTTAAAGGGATCTATAGTAGGTTTCTGTGGTATAGGGGCCTTAATAACTGTTTTGGGGGTTCCTTATTATAGTTATAGTACAATGGGCCCAAAAACCCTATCGTAATTATTAAGGCTCCTCTAGTGCACCTTGTGCGCGCAACAACCCGAAACCCTGAACCCTAAACCGCGAACCTGGGACCCTGATCCCTGAAACCCTCAACCTCTAACCCTGTTTTAAAGAGTCAGTGCACTTAAAAAACTCTACAGTAGAAGCCCAAAAGTTGGAAACCCCAGAGCCTCCATCCTTAAGAGTAATGTATAGGGAATCCCAGCACTATTCGGCCTCAATCCCGTTTCCAACTTGATGGGGTTTACTGTAATCCTTTGCTGTTGTGGCATTCATTAGAAGGGGCCCCCACCATGTAATAGTGGTATAATAGGAATATAATAGGCCCTAGTATAATCCTTATAGTCACTATTACAGGGTGGGGCCCCTTCTAATTAAGGCATTCATGGCTTCGGATTCATCGGCAGAGTCCGGCCTCCGATTACGACTCCGCCAGCAATACCCATAGGCTTACCTTGAGGGTATGAAGAGCCCCAAAATGCCCTTAACCTGATTATACCCCAATTGCTATATATTATATCATATATTTTATATTACTATACACTACTATATGCTACTACAATACTATGATGCTAGGTTACTACATTGCTATAGCACTCTAAACCCCATGCTACTATCCCAAAGGATCCATGTACCCATATAGTAGGTACTTAGACCTTAAAGGGGTCCCTATGTGGCTACTTTCAGGCCTAAGTACCTACTACATGGGTACATGGAGCCTATGGGTCATGTTTACCTATATCAGTGGGGTAACTCCATTTAGGGTACTTGTAACTCTACTTATAACCTACTTACTAAGTCCCCTGCCCTTCCAAGTATACCACTCCGAATCGGGGGTTCGTATATAGAATCCTATAAGGTAATCCCAAAAAGGAACTACTTTGGGGCCTATGGGTATGCTATGCCGAATCGAAGAGGACTCGAGCGAGTGGTCCAGCACGGAGGAGTCCGGCTCGGCAGCTGGGCTTCTCTTTCGGTCGTGTTGGTGGAGATGAGGGGTTCAGGGTTTTAGGGATCTAGGGGTTTAGTGTTTTAGGCCTCAGGAGTTTAGGGTTTTAGGGATTTAGGGGTTTAGTGGGTTAGGCTTCAGGAGTTTAGGGTTTTAGGGATTTAGGGGTTTAGTGTTTTAGGCCTCAGGAGTTTAGGGTTTTAGGGATTTAGGGGTTTAGTGGGTTAGGCTTCAGGAGTTTAGGGTTTATATAGAATTTTGGGTTTGGGGTTTTAAGGTTTAGGGTTCATAAAGGGTTTTTATTGCAGGGCTTAGGATTTAGGGTTAGGGTTCCGGGTTTCATTTTGGGTGCATTGGGATTTGTGGGAGGGTGGTCACGGTTGTGTCCATGGTCCTGGTCGTGGTCATGATGGTGTCGACGTTGGAACCCGAGACCGCCCACACCATCAAAGAACCCCTACAGTGGAACCCTTACCCTGAGGCCAAACGCTCTATATAATGTGGTCTTAAGGCCCAAAAGCCTTGAAAGGTGGGTCCTCAGAGCCTAGGGGTTAATGAAACCCGAAAGGGGAGAGGCTTTGAAAGTGCATGAAGTGTCGATGTTGATGCCGGTGCTGTCGAGCAACATGCCCAGGGGGATTGGCGATGCTCCTCACACTTTTCGTCCTAAACCCTAAACAGTTGTTGGTTTGTTTGCTGTAAGACACTAATCACATAATGTATTATGATTCCATGCTATTTTGCGAGAACTCGCTTGTTTTGAGCGTTTGCTGTCTAATGTTGCGTCTTCCGTTGTGGTTCGATGTCTAAAACCCTATTCCAATTTTGTGCCGGCGTTCACCGCAAAACCTGCCACAACTTGTGTCTCCATGGGATGGTCTACGAAGGTTGCAGGTAGAGTCATGCGCATCTCATTTGGAGTCACCTTGATTCTGATCCACGCTCTACCAACGGAGCCTTGGAGACTAAGCCACTACTAATCTAGGTTCCTGAGTAGTGACCATTTGCCCTTTTTAGTTTAGGGTCCCCTTATTAAAACCGAATAGTAGGAAAAAGGGTAGCCTTATTATACAGGGGTTACTCAGAAACCTAGTAATCAAAAACTGAAGTCAAAAGCCTTTTCAACCGCAGGTTCCAGCAGCAACCATAGCCAAAACGATTAGAGGTCCAGGGCCCTCCCTACAATTGCTTCAAAAACCCAAACCTCTGAAGCCTAGAACCTCAAAGCTAAGCGCCTGTGCGCATGAACAAGGACTGAGCCAGTCGCCCTCTCCGGAGGTCTGCTTGATGGCACTACTCCGGCCTTATCCCGAACCGCATGAACCTCAAATCCCACATCTAAACTTGAACCCGAAGCCCTCCGCCAAAATCCACATCTATACCTGTTCCCCTGCAGCCGAATCCTCTGCAGAAGCCATGCGCCCGAATAGCTAAGCACCACATTCTTGCAGCCTCCAAGCCCCCCCCCAAGAAACCCTAAAAACCCTAAACCCCATCCCGAAACCCGCTTAAAACCAAGCGTGGCAGCGCAGCCTCGCAAAGGGACTCGGAGTGGGCGCAAGGTTTTAATCACCCAGTGGAGCCTTCGTAGCCTCAGGGGATCGACGGGTGTTAGGGTCTTGTTTGGGGTATGTATCTCTGTATCTGGTATGAAATGTCACAACCAGGTGGTATACTAGTTCATATCGTTTTGTAGTATTTCCTATCGTCATTTTTCATATATATATATATACATATATGTGTATATATATATATATATATACAGACACACACAGGTCTGCCTGCTTATGTCATCTTCGACGTTGCTACGAAGTCAGTAGGTTTTAACGTATGTGCCGACTGCATGTCCTCATGGCCATATACTCTCCTCCGAGCCCCCAAGCCCTGATACCTTGGAAGTCGCAGTCGCAGTTGAATACATGGCGGCTCGAAGCCTCGTTCACAAGGGGCACCTTAAGTGGAGGCTGGAACTAAATTAAGAAGCAGAGAATCCATAGACCGTTAGGGAATACAGTAGCATAGAAAGCAACCTTCCGGTCGCTATCCTGTCATTGCTGAACTTGGGAGTCAATGTTGTTTGGCATACGGAGGTGTGCGGTAGAAGCCCTAAAAGATCTGTACCCAAGTCTCAACACCCTTCTAGAAACCCTAAACCCTAAACCCTAGCCCTACTATAGCTTGCTGAAGGGAGCTGAAGGCTCGACAGGTTCGAACCCGACAGAAGCACCGTCCATACGTGCCTGCTCTCCATGGGCCTTCACTGATGCAAGGCGAAACCACGAGAATATCTGCATGAAGCCGAAAATCGAAAACGCGAGCTCTTTAGACAGACAAGCTCTTTGTTGTCCCTATATGTTGTTGCAGGCTTCTTGTCATTCCAGAGCATCTTTGTCAATCATCATCCTGCGGCAGTCCCGGGGAGTAGAGGACTCTGGGGCGTCCTTGTCAAAAGGCGTTGGCCGAGCTCTTGGAGTCTTCAGCGGTATGTCCCCTGGATCTCCGACTACCGGCAAGTAGTGTCGGGTTTCATACAGGGACATCGTCATAGTTTGTATAGCGGTGCAGCGCGGTGGTCTTCTTCAGGCATCGGAACGTCCAGGGGACATTTGCAGCCTTGATTGCTGTCTTGCACAAACCCAAGTATGTCTCAAAGGTCAGGAGCTCTCTAGCTCAAAGGGGTTTCGCGCTGCGTCCTGATATTGAGACAGACTGCTCCAGGTGGGTTGCCTTTCAATCACTGAAAGGCCCTGCCAAGTGATTTAGACTACCAGCATCTGCGTGGAATAAATGGAGGACGGTACACCAAGCCTAGCTGCACTGAATGCCTTTCGAGATCACGGCAATCCGTGTGGGCCAGGCTTCATGTCATTGGCACAGCACTTGAGTCACTTTGTCGCGCTGTGTTTTTGTTGCATCAACATGGCGACTGGAACTTCCTTCAATCCTAATTACTGTAAACCCGTAAGCCATAAACCCTAATCCCTGCATGCTAACGGTCGCGGAAGCATGGTCCCATCCGACTCGCGATGGTTGTGGAACGAAACGCAAGTAGGTGCAGGGCTTAGGGTAATGAATCGGGGCCAGGCGATATGCAGCACGGGGTCCACGGAGGTGTTCAGTGTTTTGTGCTTTGCCAGTGGACATCTCTTTACAGCCACGCCTTGCAAACCCTGGCCAGAAACCGTCAGAATTTGAACCGAGCCCCCAACACTATGCCTCTTATGCCAAGCGAGAAACGTTCACCTCAAACCGCGTACCATATATACACAAAACTATACTTAACTCTGATATAATACAATCCGGTAAAATGTAATGGAATATGAAGCCGTGAACATCCCAAATGAACGTGGACCACCTGCTGCAGCTGTATGCCAGCCAGGAAGCAAGCAACAAGCAAGTCGACCCTATAGGTATCAGTTCTGCTATGTTAACCAGACAGCAAGGTGGTTTCTGGAAGCTGATTCAGAGATGGTGTAGATAGACAGATGGACAAATATGTTGACAAATCAATAATTCAGAGACACTGACCACAGAAGCAGCTGAGACACAGACACTGCCTCGGAGACCTTGGAGATATACAAGCTCAAACCGCATAGCATGAATAGTGCTGCTTAGAGAGCAGCAAGATCATACAACGGCAAAGCAGCTCTAGCGGTAGCCGTTGGGTTCATTTCCGGGATTCCAGCTTTGGAGAATCGGTCTGTATCGGCTAACCGCAACGTCATACTCCATGCCGTCGTTGCACGGCTTAGGGCCTAGGGCTTAGGGAACACCATCTCAGCTCAACCATCAGTCAGTTGTGCAAGACTTTAGCACCTCAACGCATCCAAGCCACAGCTCTGACATGTCGTCTGCTGAACTTTTAACCAGGCTGTGAACAGGGGGGGAAGTTCTTCAAGATGCCATGTTCCTTAACCCTAAAAGTCTCTATGTTCCGATTCCAGAGGGGTCCTTCTGTGGAGGGCAAGGGAAGAAGAAACCCGACAAGTTGGATGCAGCTGTGCTTAGGACCGAGGGTTCTGTGGGTGAAATAGAAAGTCGCAGCCACAGCATGCAGAGCCAGAGACAGAGAGAGCGAGAGAGAGAGAGAGTGAAAGAGAGAGAGAGAGAGAGAGAGAGAGAGAGAGAGAACACGAGAGAGAGGGGGAGAGAGAGTGTGAAAGAGAGAGACAGAGAGAGAGAGAGAGAGAGAGAGAGAGAGAAGAGACCACCGCAGGGGCTGCGAGGGCTGCTGGTGCCTTCTTGACGGTGCTGAGCAGGTAGATTTGTGCATAATGGCATACTATATACATACGCAAACACAACCACACATGCATGTGAGTGTGTGTGTGTGTGTGTATCTATATAGTGACTCGCATGTGCGCGCACTCATACTCCTACATAGCTACACAAAGAAAGGGAGGAGGCAGAGAAGCAGAGGCAGCACCACAGAGAGGGAGAGAGAGACTCGAATGACTCATATGGCACGTTTTAAGCACCAAGCCCTTGAACCCCAAACCCACACCTAGTGTAGGAACCTCATTAAGAAACCCTGGCCCTATAACCCCAAATATATTAGGATTGTATAAGGAACCCTAAGGAAGACCCAAGGTTTCTTAATCAGGTTCCTATATTACCTTGCAGACAAAATCCCAATCATTACTGGGCTGTCTCATTGACAACGGTTGATGTTACAAATCCTGCATTACCCATAATAAGGAACATACCATAATTCCCATAGTTTAGGGTCCCTAAGGTAATGCAGATTTCATATCTTCAACAGCAAGCTTCGCTGCTGGTGCAGAGATGAGTAGTAAAGCCCTGAGCGGCCGAGCCAGCAGACAACCGGGCATGCCCAGAGTCTCCAAAAATCCCTTAATTAAGGATTATACCTTAAAGTAGAGTAGGATCCATAATATGATTTAAGGTATATTCCTTAATTAAGGGGTTTTGGAGGCTCTGGGTGTGAAGCCCGGACCAGTCTCGCTGACGATCTTGCAGTCACACATAGCATCGCAGCACAGAGCCACTGCCACCATATCGCGCAGTGCAATTTTTGATAGAAGCCCCTAGCCCCTAAACCTAAACCGTTTGTTAATACCGTGCAGGCATTACATAGTCCGGCCCGACTTTCGTCGTCTTCGGCTGCTGCTGCTGGCGACAGCGTCCCCCAGCAGAGATTTTAAGGTCGTCCGAGACACTGACTGTACCCTCAAAGTGGTCCTCGTTTTGGTTTAGCAACATCAGGTGTTGAGGTGTTGTTTCTTCCCCGTTCAGTTTGCTGTGCTTGCTGCTGTAGTCGCACAACTCAGATGGTTTAATCTCACGACGAGTAAACACCTTAACACATACAGGGGAAGACAACAGCACACCCACGCACACCAAATACTGTGCAATGCACTAGCCGAGCTGTGCATTTCACAGTGTTCTCAAGGCGGTTCTTAGCAATCAGGGTTTTAGTTGATGGGCCACCGGCGTTGTCTCCGCTGCTGCCCTGAATCCTAACCTTAAGCCCTCAGTCCGATCTAAGCCCTCAAGAACCTACATTTTCAAGGAAGAATACCAAGAAGTCTCAACAAGGAACCCTAAGAAGGCAGGTTTGTGAAGGTAAAGGCACACTCTACGCCTAACCATGAAGCCAATCCCGAATCCCTCTGCAAACCTCGAGCCTCGACCCGTTGGCATCTGCGGCATTAGGGCTCTTGGGTTTGGGGTAGGGGTATTTTGGCCAAGCTGCTCTGATAATTATAGGGTTTTATACAAGTCGAAAGAGCTCGGGAGGAGAAGAGACTGTTCATGATCTTGCGTCTACCAAAGTACACAATATTGTGTTGGTGTTGCCCCTCTTACTAGCGCAGGCGTTGCTGGCTTGGCGTCGCAGTATCGGTCTTGACCTTGTTCAACCACTGCAAATTTAAGTTGTCGTCGTTGAACTCGATCATGTTTAAAGTATGTGCAACTTGCGCAGCTTCTCTTAGCTTGAAACTATTTGATTGTTCCGCTCCCTCCAAGCCCTAAACCCCAAATCCTAAACCCTGTAGTCCCGCAAACCTTAGCCCGCACGAACCGGACCTCACTTGCTTGGAGTCTTCCAGGTGTGCCGCAGCTTGGCCGGCATTCGCCGTGGGACGATGGCCTGCCCTTGCACGATTGATAGAATCGTCGGCCCTAGTTTTGAGTAGGGCTTAGAGTCATACCGTCATATCCGAATCCTTTTTCAGGGTGCCCAGGTGCATTTTCACGACCTATAGATAAGTAAGTAACCGAAAAAGCGGGCAGGGTATGGCCGTGCAGGTACTACCCCAGCATGCTATACCCTAAAGACCTAGATGGGTGGTTGTCAACTTTGTGGTCCCTTTTTGGGTCCCCATTATAATACGGCACCTATTATTTAGGGTACCCAAAAACTTATTTTGAAAAAAACTACCCATATACAGTCAACCCCAGAAAGTTGGAAACCGGATTAAGGCCAAATAGTGCTGGGATTCCCTATACATTACTCTTAAGGATTGAGGCTAATGGGTTTCCAATTTTTGGGCTTCTACTGTATGAATCACCGAGGACCAACACCAGCACCCGAAGCCTTGGTGAGAGTCCTTCAAAGACTGTCTCTCGACGGATTCGGCGTGTCTTGCTGGGTCCTTCGTTTTACCTTTGGTTAGCAGGGAATGGAAGAATGGTCGCAATGGTAGTTGTAATTGTAGCCCGTTCCTCCATTCCCTACTTACCAAAGGTAAGTCGTAAGGTTCAGAAAGCTGTTATTGTTCGAGGACCCGGAAGCCGTAAACCCTTGACCGCAAAACTGCATCTAAAAAGCCCTGAAATGACAGCAGTGCAGATTTTTTCGACATTCACCCAGGACCCCTTCAAAAAGCTCGAACCGAAGCCCTGCACCTTGACACATGCTGTCCATCAAGCGGTCAAGGCTCACCGGCTCGGCACTGAACTGAGAGTTCAGGAGATTTAGTTGCAGGATGTGGGGGTTTAGTACCGAAAACAATCCTGAGCCTTTCACCCTGAAGGCTTCCCTGAAACCTGCTAAACCCTAAGCCGCAAGCCCCGCAACATCGCTTACTTGATCCACGATGCCTGAGAACAGGACGCCGGACCACATGCGGACCAGAACGCCGCGCGCCCACGACTCGGTTGAAGGAGTTGGCAGGAACTGCTTAGTTTAGGGCAAACCTTCATCGCAAAGCCTAAACCCGAAGCTTAAACCGTCCTTGCCCTAAACCCTAATTCTAAACCCCCTAAACACACCCTTGTGTTCCAGACGGTGAGAGCCTTCCCGCAGCACCAATGCGTAGACGAGATGTTACGGGCTTTATGGGAACAACTCCTTGCTGCTCTTGCCGTGCCTGATTAGAGAATCTTAACCATTGCTGACACTGTTGACCAACAGAGTGAAGTCCCAAAGGCTCCATGTACCCATATAGTAGGTACTTAGACCTTAAAGGGGTCCCTATATGGCTAGTTTCAGGCCTAAGTACCTACTATATGGGTACATGGAGCCTTTGGGATAGAGTGAAGGAACATCGGAATGCTTAGAGAAGATACAGGTGGCCTGGACACTTGCACACAGCTTCCCCAGCTTTTTTTGATATAGCTGTACCCGAATCTACTGCAAGGCCCCATGCTTGTTGTTGAGGCCCGTATACTACAGAACTTGAAGGGATACTTCAATCTGCCGCAGCTCGCAGGTGCGGCGGCAATTTTTCCAGAATACTTTCGCCGCTCGACAAGCAAGTGTTTACACCCTAGCCCTAGCCTGAACCCTGCATGTAATAACATCCCTAAGTTCCTCTGCCTAAGCGCTTCGGCCCTGGCTGCACTTCGACGTCGACCTGCTATGAAGGTTTGGGCGACTGTGAGGTGTGCTACAACGATCGTTGTAAAGAGGTGCCCAATTGGTTGCTAGCGGTGTTCGACATGTTAACCTTCCAATCCCCCGAACCCCGAAAACCTTAAGATCTAAATCCCGAGAACTCCAACCCCCCAAACCCCAAAGCCTGAAACTAAAACACTAAACCCTAAACCCTGAACCCGAGTAAAAAAGCTAAATACCCTTAACCCCAAAGCCAAAAACAATAACAGAACAACACCTAAAAGCCCCAAGTTGCTCACACGCTTGACTTAGGCGGACAAAACCTACATGGAGCGCCAGTTCTTTGTGGCATCCACGCTACATGCGCAGCCCTTAGGAGTTTCCCTTATTGAATCCAGACGGGATCGTGTAAGGATTGTTTTAGGGTTTAGGGCTCTGGCCAGGGCAGGGTTAGGGATTGATTAAATTGAATTCGGGATCAGTGTTGACACAGTTTGACGGGGGTTTCGGGTTTAGGGTTCAGCGGTTTAAGGTGGATGCAGGGGTTAGGGCAATTGAGGTCATTGCTGCACCGAAACTCTAATCCCTAAACCTGACAGAGTATCCAAGGTGCTGCTGCCTACCGCAAAGAAGGGTAAGAACATGAAGGCCGGTTGAGGGGCGGCTAGGCCTGTGTTTGCGGTTTAGGGTTTAGAGTTTGGGGCAAGTTGCCCTTTAGCGAAAGATGGGGCTGCAATATCTCGTTTATCAAAGCACCCAGCAGATTTCGTGAGCTGCGTGGGGTCTGTCAACGAGATTTATCTGTGGCTGTGCTTGTTTGTGGAGTGGTCTTGGCGTCGAGGGTTGCGGTTGGGACTTGAGTCATGCTTCACAGCCTCCCGATGTGGACGGGAATTAGTAAATATCACAGTATTGGTACTAGTATTAGAATTTGAGTTTCTAGAGAATTACTTGGATATTAGCATCGCATCTGCATTATTTGGACGTCAACTAGAGCGGGTCGATTTCAAGCAGGATTCATGGAAGCAGCGTCATTGCCTTTAAAAAACAAAACTCCATGATCGGTTGCATAAACCCTATAAGCCCTCTAAACCCTATAGTATCCTTATAGATCCCTTATTAGGAAGAAGGTTGCATAAACCCTATAAGCCCTCTAAACCCTATAGTATCCTTATAGATCCCTTATTAGGAAGAAGGTTGCATAAACCCTATAAGCCCTCTAAACCCTATAGTATCCTTATAGATCCCTTATTAGGAAGAAGGTTGCATAAACCCTATAAGCCCTCTAAACCCTATAGTATCCTTATAGATCCCTTATTAGGAAGAAGGTTGCATAAACCCTATAAGCCCTCTAAACCCTATAGTATCCTTATAGATCCCTTATTAGGAAGAAGGTTGCATAAACCCTATAAGCCCTCTAAACCCTATAGTATCCTTATAGATCCCTTATTAGGAAGAAGCCTCAGAGTTGATTTAAATCCCCAAGTGTGTGCGAAGGTAGTTGAGCTGGAGCCTCTGGATGGAAGGTCCGGGACCGAACCCCCTTTTTTGCGCGAGGGTTTGGGCTTTCGGGGTTTGGGGGTTTAGGGTTTGAGGGATTTAGGGTTTAGGGGTTTTGGGGTTTAGGGTTCCAGGGAAGTTTGGCAATCTGAGTACCACCTAGACCCGAAAGCGTGGGACCTGTTTCGGATGCCCTGGTCTTACACTGTAGGATCCCTACCATAACATAGCACAGAAAGGTACTACAGTTTAAGGCCCAAGCATGATCGCAACCAAGCGGGCGTAGAAAGCGGTGTTGAGCAGTGTCGACCGCGGCTACAGAACCCATAAAAAGAACACCCACCCTGTCAGGCCATTATCACGGGAGCCTTTCCATGGCCGGAATAACCATATTCGGTCATAGTCCTGGTTTATATATATATATATAGAGAGAGAGAGAGAGTATAAGCCTGTTCTAACCGTTTAGGTCCCTATACAAAAAGCTGCCCAAGATCCTTCAGAACCCCTAAAACAAAGGCAAGAAGCCGAAGTCATATCGGAAACCTTAAACCGGAACCCATATCCCGAACCTGAACCCAAACCCTAAACCCTAAACCCATATCCTAAACCCTAACCCTACCCCAAAACCCCCCACCCCCTGAAAGCATGTCGGCTCTTTTGGGGGTCTGGGGTTTAGGGCTCAGGTACATCGGCTTCCTCAAGCCCGGGGCTGACGAAAGGAAAACCATGAAATGGCAGCAGCCTCAGAACCAAGGTCCCGAAGACTTAACTTTTTTTTTTTTTTTTTTGGGGGGGGGGGTGGTGTTTTAAACAAGTAAACACATACATGGTCAGTTAAACATAAATACATGGATAAATAGGTATACGTCTATGTCTATGGGTATGTGTATGTGTATGTGCGTAGACACATACATATATTTATATACACATATATCTGGGAGATGAATTGCTTTCTATGTTTATACATGTACATGCACTTGGGTTCCTTTGTACCGAACCCCATTTCAGACTCTAGCTGTTTCGGACTCAGGGTTTGTCGGAAGCTTGAAGAACATTCCTTAAGGTCTTTTGGGGCTCATGGTCAAGGAGTCTAGGGTTTTGGTTGGGGTGAAGGGTATAGTACGGCTTGGGTATTTGGTATAGGGTTGGGTGTGTAGGGTGCGGGGTCTTAGTATACAAGTGGGGCCCACAACCCCTATAGCTAGAGCTCGAACCCACAAGGTTCTTGGACGAGTACATCGCTGTCGGTCGCTGGCCTGCACCTGCCCGTCTTCAGCAACTAAACACTCCGAAACACTACTTCGGTGTTCTTAGGAGCCATTGCTGATTTTAGGCTTTTACTCCAAGATATTATGAAACAAATGCTGATTTTAGTAGAGGTTAGACTCCAAGATCTTATGCAGCAAATGCTAGTCTTCAGTATGGTTGAAAGGGTGCTTGAGACTAGGATCAGCCGGGAGAGGCCCACCTCAGGTACCTTCCGACAAGCACCGGAGCACGTTGAGTCTAGCACCAGCGTTCATGGTCTTGCTCACCTTACCCAGCAGGTCCATATACACTACTATTCTGGAATCAGGTCCCCAGTGACCATCCTCATTATGGTCTTAGGGGACCTAATTCCATAATAGTAGTGTATATGGGCCCTCTGTGAGTTACAAACCTTCAAGTCCGAGCACTTGGGGATTTACAATGGAGCCTGGCGCGAAATATTCAGACTCCTGCACTTCAGGTTCACACTGCTCAGTGCCCGAGTGTTTGGAGAGTCCAGCGGTCCTGGGTAAGGCCCCAAGCTCTGAACCCGAAGCCCTGCACGAGTTGGGGTGCAGGATTGAGGCTAGGGTTCGGGGTTAGTGAACGGTAGTGTTGTGTTTATAGGGTTTTTCGATCAGCTGTCACTGTTCCTGGTCATTCGCTGTGAGGCAACAGCTTGTGGGAAGCCGGCACTGAGAGCGAGCTCGTCAAGAAACTCAAGAAGGAGGCCTAAGACATAGGATAGATTTCGCTTCAAGGTTCTGAGGGGGAGCAGCCAAAGTAGCGACAGCATGCAGGCTCGCTCCTGCTGACTGCAACGCACGGAAGAGCAAGCCAGTTCGGTCGGCTCCCCGCAGACATTTGGCTCATAGTCGAATCTCACAGCGCACTGCATCAACAATGAGAGCCCGAAGCCATGACAAAAACCTGAAAGCCCCAGACTAAACCCGAATCCTAGGCCCGGAACTTCTGAAACCTTATCTTCTAAGCCGAAGCCGAAGGACACCCGGCCGAACTTCACGGTCGCCAGCAAAGTTCACAGTACAACCTGCGTCCGAGCAGGGATCGACGTAGGGCTGGTGTCCGAAAGCCTCTAAAACCCTGTACCAAAGCAGCGTTCTAATGTTAAGCCCCCCTATACCAAAACCCTAGACTAACACCTTACACCGCCACAAACCCTTTTATGAAAGCCTTAAAGCAAGCATTAAGGCCCCTGTAGTAGCAAGAAGCTGTCCATGCTTGCCTGGCGAGGCCCTTTGGTTTTGTCAGCGCAGCAGTGGCCGTAGTGTGCCTTCAAAGTCCGTCATGATCGATAACGGTTTAGGGTTTAGGGGTTTAGGGTCACTATAGGCCAACTGCTGATGACTACAGGGGCCTTTAAAGGCCAAGTGAGGTCAAGGATTAAGTAAGGGTTTCATAGTGCGAATGGATGATTACTCGAAAGTTGTCTTTATTAGTGAGGTTATTCGAAAGTTGTTCTGTATGCCGGGCTAAATGGGTTGCTGTAAGGGCGTGTATGGCTGCACAACAAAGTAATGTTACTACATTGGAATCTACAACATAAGCGGGCTCTTAGGGAGCAAAGTAAGTAGGCAGCCATCCGGCTGAAGCTTCACTTCCGCTTGCTGCCTGCAGACTGCGTCCACGAAGGGACATCTCAGCTGACGGTTGCTGCAACACGGCAACACGGTCACCTGCAAGCACCCAACACCCCTGTGTAGCTCCATTGTAGCCTTTTTTTTGGGTTGCCTTGTAGGTTCCTGAATACACACACTCGGTTAAGCCACAACGGGGACTACAGTGAAGGGCAGACGCTGTCCTTGTTTCCTCCCTTTAGAACCCTAAATGTCCGACTGATTTTGTGTCGAATGTAGTGGCTTTGAGTAACTGCCCAATAGAAGAATTGAAGTCCGCAATACATGCGTAGGATCAAGCCCACGAAAGTTTAATCCCCCAAAAACCCTTAACAAACCATCAACAGAAAGCCGTTAAGACCACGATAAACAACACAAATTCTTTATCAACCGATATTATACAACATATTACGGTCCAGTGGGTTTCCCCTGCAGACATGCCATCAACGTTCTTGACCTACCGCTTGGTAAAAAGGCCCTGATGACCTGAAGCTCACAACTCGATGTAGGGTTGGGAGTTGTGGGGTTTTGGGGATTGAGCTAAAGCCAGTTCAGGGGTGTAGGGTTTAGCGATGTGTCAGGTATCATGCTATGGCCGCTTACCTGTAAAGATTGAATCTAGGCTTGTTTAGGGAGTAGGGTTAGGTTCGTTAGACTGAGGATCATGTGAGACTGCCTCAGCGGCGTCAGACATCGGAGGTAGATTACCCCAAAAGTATCATTCTGGAATATACTTATTGGGTATTTGGGGCGGCCTAAGTATATATCATAACGATACTTGGACCCTTTGGGTTGTCTGAGCCGGGGTTTTCAATTTCTCTTCTTGTAAGGCTATGACTACAGGAACTGGGACTCCAGCATAGAACACCCCCGCTGCGTGAAGGCCTCAATCCTTTAAATTGTCAAGCAATATCACTGTCGAGAGGCTTAACAGATGGAGTGCGACGTCCGACGCCAAATTACCACCCATAGGCCTGCGCGATTTTGATTTGAGGGTGCGGGTGGAGGTCTACGTAGGCTAAGTATTGTATGATGGGCGTCATGTTCTTTCAGGATGTCACGGCTGTTCGGTTTATGTTTCGGGCCTATGGCCCCGTGAAGATCAAGAAGAAGAAGAAGATAACCCTAACCTAAGAACTGGTAGGTCCAGCGTATGTGGCGAAGACTTGACACTCAGATTGAACTGGGGAAGGTGGTTGAACCTCCTTTATTATCAGTTATGAAATAATTCACAACTTTTCACTATTATCAGTGGTGTCATTGTGGTGGTTTGAATTGTCGGGTTGTTTCAGGATCCACTGTCAGATTTTTGTCCTTGTAGGGGTAAGGGCGCAGATGGTTGGGGGTCCCCAATATTCGGGTTCAACAAACCCGAGTTAAGGAAGAACGGTACCACCGTAAAAAAGCCCTAAACCCTAAATTTCCTTATGATTTAATCCAGGTAAGGATTGCTCGTAGTTCTGTTTTCAGATCTGACGGGGCCAGCTGGGGATCGGAATTGACAGAAGCCGCCCTATACTCAGTTTCCCCGCCGTTACAAAACTCGAACTTCTACCACTGGCCCACGGTGCGACTACTCATGTCAACAGGATCAACATAGATCAACAACAATAAGTTGCAGCAGAAGAGCCAGACTCACATCAACAGCGACACTTAGCAAAGCTATGCTGCGAAACAACCCTAAGCCCCTCGACCCCTGAACCTTTTTATCCTTAAACCCCAAAAAACTTTCCCTAATCCCCGAATCCCTGCCTTCCAGCCCCACTGAAGACCCTAAACACGAATCCCTAAACCCTAAAAAGAACCCTAAGCCCTTAACCCCTGAACCCCCAATTACCTTACATGTATACAAAGATAGATCAACATGTATTATAACACGACAGGTTATACGGTTATACGGTATATACATGTAAAAATATATTTTCTTTTATCTATATATATATATATATATATATGTAGTACATATGGGGGTTTCCGAACATAGGGGACCCTAATATAGTACCCTAAATAGTAGGATCCTTATTGTAAGGACTCCTAAATAAGTTACCCTTATCTGCGGAAAACCCCATATTCGTGCACTATAACCCTAAGGGTCCAAGTACCCAAATAGTAGGGTTTCAAGGTCCAAAAAACCATTCAGGGTATGGGTTTTGGGATCTAAAACCCTGCTATTTGGATACTTGGACCCTCTAAGGTACCGTTATTTTCGGAAACTCCCAACCCTACACCCTAAACCCTTTCTAGAACCCTTATAGGAACCCTTAGAGGATCCCTTTTTCGGAAACTCCCCTTTTCGTGCACTATAACCACTAGGACCCAGAGTAGGCCCTTATTCCCTTTTTTAGGGTTCAGGTTCCCTTTTAAGCCCCTTTATAACCAAAAAGGGCATCCTTTTTATGCCTGGGTTACTCTTTGGTCTAGACCAGAGCGCAGGATCCCAGCAGAGCGATGTTGTCCAAGTGTTTGGATCACCTTGGGCTCAGCCCTCGGAGGTGGAAGTCGAAATCCTCAGCCCTACTTGGAGGGTCGGGGGACTTAGTAGGTAGTAAGTAGACTTATAAATACCCTAAAAAGGGCCATAATTGGGGTTATGGTACTTATAAATCCCTAAAAGAACCAGTTCCTAAGTCCCCCGACCCTCCAAGTAGGCTCTACCCGAGGCCTTTAAAGGGTTCAGGTGTAGGATAGCCCTACTTTTTTCGAGCTTGAGATGATTTCCTTGCAAAAGTCTTTGGCCTACCTCTCTTAGGGTTCCTTATCATGATTTCAACCTTTTTCAGGGCTCCTTGTTACGATTTCCTTTCAGGGTTCCTTGTGATGGGTTCCTTGCAGAGCTTAAGGTACTTGAACCCCAAGGCACCTACCAGTTTGAAGTTTTTCCCAGGAAGTCCTAACAAGTAGCCGTAGGCAGGTGGGGCTCTCTGCCTGGACCCTATAAATATCGACTTTGTTTTAAGGCGTTCCCTTCTTTTGATTTCCTGATAAATGTCCATAAACAGACTGCTTACGTTTAAGGTAGGGTTTAGGACTTAAGTTGACTTAAGCTTTAGACATCTTTCGAGCTTTTAGTCCGCTGTTGGAATTTTCCAACGCCTGTACGTTGAACAGCTACTCCCGGACCGCAGCACCCTCAAGCCACACATAATTCTAGACATGCCAGAACAGACCCCAAGCCTCGGGGTCCTGACATGTTTAGGGTGTAGGGGCTTAGGGTTTAGGGCAGGTACGTACATGCACATATATATATATATATATATACATATGTGATATATATATATATATATATATATATATCTGTGCATGCATGCATATTTACATACGCACATGTACCAACATGTTTAGTATTGCAACTGCTTGAGCTCAAACACCTATAAACCGCATACACAAGGCCTCACTCAATCCTGAGGCTCCGAATTCCTTAAGCCGGACACTAAAAACAGCATATTTACTCAATTCGACAAGAGGATGTATGTATGTATGTATGTATATATATATATATATATACACACACACACCCTCACAGGTCCATGTAAGCATACATAATACAAGGACATACATCTGTCCGAGGTTCCGCAGCTTCAGGGTCCGTCTCCCAGCTTCCTCAGCAAGTCAAAATCGACCGGAAGGTGTGAGTTTGAGGATGCAGGTTGAAGTTTTACAGTTCAGGATTTTGGTTGAAGTCGTAGAGTCTAGGTTTTGCAGTTTCCCTTGCGGGACTAATCTATGGTCTATCGCAAATCGCTTGCAGCCTGAGTCACCTTACGCTTCGGCTGCAGTGTGGAGGCTGCAGTTCGAGCCGATCCTTCACCTGAGCATCCGATGTTCATCGACTGAGGGCTTCGAATTTGAATAACCGGCGGTCTGGACCGAATGGTCGCGATGTTCATGATGAGGGCAGCGGTTTTGTCGCAGAGTCAAGCGTGCAATGATCCATGCTTACTTGGAATTTTCAGTACATGCTTTCCAGTGTAATGACTCCACGACCCATTATATACCATTACCGCTACCGTTACTGTAACTTCTGCTGTAAATTGCACTGACGAGTCCCAATTGCTGTGCTGTCCAGGCCATGGCCCTGTTCTCCCTGTTCCTG